TGCGCGCAGATCACACAAATCCTCGGGTGCTTCCTCTGCCGTTTCGCAGCACGGCCGCGCAAACCCAAAGAACGGTCCCCCATTGTGTGGTGCAGCTGCAGCGAATGCACTCCTGACATGTTTGCCTCCCGCTCGCGCGCAGCCTAACGCATCATGTCATGTTCGCGCAGCCTAAAACACTCGCACAAACAATGAAGCCACCAGCAAACACGCCAAAAAAAAAAAAAAAAAAAGAAAAACCCACCTGAGTGGTGCTAAGGCTGAGCAGCAGAAACGTGGGCTGTCGTGATGTTCTTTCCAACACTAATTTGACCCTAACGCACGCAGGGCAGCGCGGGCAGCGGATACACGCAACAAAAAGTCAGAATTAGAAACGGTCCAGGCGGGAGAATGGATCGTCGGATCATCTTCTTTCCAGGAACGGTGGCGACCTGGACCTGCGCAAGCTTGCAGCGGGATGAGCACGGAATGCCTAAACTTGCAGCGGGACTACAACAGAAGAAGCCTCTCTGGCGAAAACGCCCCAAACAATGCGTGCCCTTTCCTAACGCTCGACTTTGGCTGTGTATGGATAGGTATGGAACTGTCAAATCAAAGTCGCGAGTGGCGATGACAGGTTCCAGACAGATGCCTAAGATGCCTGGATGCCCCAAGCGTTCGGACGGCCGAGCCTCGACTGGGACCACCCTTCGGAAGTTACAAGTACCATCTCCGAACGTCAACCGCGCCCAGTCTTCGCCTCCTATTATGCTGTTCCGTTGCCGGAGCCGCACGCAGCGTGACGTCCGTGGCTCAGGGGTGACATATATGGCGCTCTCACATGAGAGAGATCCGTTCACTGTTTGAACAACTGCACATAGAGTATTTGACAACCCCACAGGAAGGAATCAGGGAGTGTGTCTGTTGCCAAGCTTTCGACTACAGTAAGCACGGTGAGAATGACCACATGATGTGATTGCAGGAATTATTATCGTCCATTAGGCGTGTGTGATGTGGTAAGCTGGTGTGGGAGTTGATGACCTCCCTTTCGTCACTGATCCTCCCAACCTCCTAAGACTAGTTTGTTCGTGGCCACGTTCCGCAAAAGCCGATGCGATTGCCCCTCCTCCATCCTTCGCTGCCCGACATCTCAAAGGATGCGGGCCGCGACGGGAATCGCGTGTGCTGCATAGAGGTGTGAAGAGAGAATCCTCTCCATCTCCTCTCCTGGCTGTGTCGCATACAGGCCAACTCATTCTTTCCCTTCCATCTCTTCTCTCGTGGTCACAATAATCGAATCAAAACAAGAAAACATTGCTCCCAACATGTTATGTGTGTGTCACATGAAAACGCCCAGTCCCATGCTTTCCCTATTGTGTCTTGTTTGTAAAAAGTTATGTTTGTTTTTTGCGCCCCTAACGTGATGGTATTCCTTCTCTCTCGTCGGATGCAAAGATTCCCCGAGCTCTTTTCGAATTCCGAATGATCCAAACCAGACTCGACTTTTGCGTCAAAATAAAGCGGGAGGGCGCGCAGGGTTTACAGAAGAATCGAAGAAAAGGGGCATCGTTGTGCGGTAAATTATATGTTGTTTCGTCGTCGAATAACGTGGTTTCGGATCGATTTCGGAGTCTATCGCCGATCACCTCCCTCGGCCGATTCGGGAATTTGCTTCGCTTCTCATTCGGACTTGGCCTCCACCGCCTTGCTGTTGCTCGCTGCCACTTGCTGTACGCGGTTTTTCCTGTCGCCCTTGTACCTCGTGTCCAGGATGCGGTCCCAGAAGATGAAGAAGGGCTGCGAGAAGTTGGTCTTGATGCCCCATGTCTGGTGGTGGATGTCGTGGTAGGCGGCGTTGTTGCTCGAGATGTGCTGCAGGGGGTCCCAGGGCAGGGAGTAGCCGCAGTGGTCGTCAACGGTCTTGATGGTCGAGAAGCAGAAGAAGAGGAGACCCTGGCGGGCGGTCATGCCCGTAAGAAGGAAGCCAATACCGGCGCCGAGGGTGTCGAGGAGGAAGCCCTCGAAGGGGTGGTTATACAGAGCACCGTAGGCGTAAGGAACGTAGAGGCGGTGGTGTCGCGAATGGAAGGTAGCTAAAGGAGCACTCTGTTAGTCTTTTGAAGCTCTTCCGAAGATCCCGGAGCGCAAACAACTTTTGCGCCGAGGCGTGAAACTTACTGTACATCCACTTGTTGACGTGCATCAAACGGTGGAGGAAGTACTGCCATGTGTCGAGGACCGAGACAGCGGCGAACAGCTGCATACCGGGGATGACCAGCCAGTAGATGGCCTTAGCGACAAAGAGCTCCCAAGCGGCGAAGGCGGGGACGACGGAGTGCGATCCGTCAAGCAGCTCGGTGGTGAGGAACGGGTAGTGGCCTCCAGCGAGGGCGCCGGCGATGAACGGGTGGCCCGAGGCAGACATGTTCTTGGAAATCGAGGCGGCGTTGAGTCCGAGCAGGCCGAGGACGGTGGGCAGGGCGCGCTGGGCGAGGCGGACGCGGGTCGCCCAGACGGCGACGTCGTACTCTTCGCGGCCAACGGTCTGCTCGTCGTCAATAACCTCGAGGAAGACGGACATGGCGATCTGGATCAGCTGCTGGATCAGGACATCGCGGGCGACCTCGTAGCGCGAGACGTGGTTGCGCTTGGTGATCTCCTCGGGGGTGTGAAGGCGGTACTGGGGCCAGACGTCGTAGGTGTCAATGAGGTGGAAGAACATTGACAAGCACCAGTAGACGACGATCGGGCCGAAGATGTTAAGGTAGCTGTCTGGAATGCCAGGAATGAGTTCCGGCTTGGGCCTCAATGTGTAGGCCGGAAGAGGCGGAAGGTCGGCAGCCGCCGACGTGAAGTTGAGGGCCATCGTGGGAGGAACCGTTTCGTTCACCATGGCCGGTGCGATTGTCGTGGGATTGGGCGATTGCGATCGGTATGGTGTCGGGTGGTGGTGTAAGGGGAGAGAGGTAGGTTGCGAGGCGAATGGATTCGGTCGGAGGGCGCGGTAATGAAGGAGCGAGGTGAGGTTAAGAAGGAAGGGCGGGGGGCGAAGCACGTTCGCAGGCCAAAGGAGCGGACGGGTTGGATACGTACGGATATGAAATGCCAATCCTTGGGTGCAAATGCAGACAGGGCTGAGACGAGCAGTCGACTGGGCCTGTGGCGAGTTGTTGGTCGAGGTTTCACTAGCTTTGACTAGCTTGGTCCTTGTCTGCAATGCAAAAAAATGATAGCGCTTGACTTTAGGTATGTAAGTACACAGTGAGAGAGAGATGGGAGCAGAGCAGAAAACAACAGCAGCAAGTATTAGAGGTACGGTCTTATTCACTGGGCTGGCCGCTCGGTGCTTTAAAAGATGATAGGCAACGGTCTTAGCGGCGACGGCGGAAGAGCGGGCGGGCAATTTTTTCCTTTCTCGGAGGCCGGGCTCTTCTCGAGGCGCTGGCCCTGCGGTGGTGCCGTGCTGGCCCATCACCCACTCCAAGAATGATGCGCTTTATCAATCTCGCTTGTGAAAAGGCGCGGGCCTCTCGCCTTTCGACTGTCTCCCGGTTTTGCCACGGATCGAACCACAAATGCCGTCGCGTTCTAAGCTTGGTCACTTGAGGGACAAGATCAGCTGGAGGCCTTTTAGACTCTGCGAGCATGCACCAATTGCCATTCCATTTATGCGTGCACTCGTAACTGGGTTCGACAATTGCGCGCTACCTCGCTCCTTTGCGAGTCTCGCCGCGTGTTGGCACTGACAGTCGACAATACGCTGCGATGACGAACGCCTGCCACTACAACCACGAGCTGGCTCCTCGCGTAATTCGCGGCGGCCTTGTCATGTTGTCATAACTTTAACACCCTGCGCGGCTTGCTACGCTGCCGTGTCAGGCCACCGGGCTCTCCCCTGTCACCACCGTGGATACGCGGACAACTCGGTGGCTTAAGTAAGCCCGGTTCGCCGTGATCCACGACGCTGACTGGTCGAGCCGTGTTGACATGAAGGGGTGATGCTTAATAAGTCCAGAGCCCAATCTCATCGTGATGATGCGCCCACTCTCTGCTGTCAACAAAATGTCTTCTCGAGGATGCCCCTTTCCGTGCCATGCGTCAATAACATCCGCATGTCGTTCGAAGGAATTCAGGCAGGGCATGGCTTGATCATGACGGGTGCTGGACTTGATGACTTGTCCAAAGTGAGGCGTTGGTCCCATCATAGCTCCGCCCAACGTGCTATTCAAGAAAAGGGTCATTCTCACAAGGGTCAGACCCAAGACCATACGATGCTCCATGTCGGAAAGAGGTTCATGTGACACGCCAGAGACTGGCAGTTGAAAGATCGGGCTGGAACACACCGCTGTCGCTCCCTGCTGGGCGCGATTGAGGCTATCCCAGCTTCGAACGTGGATGTGGTGGATATCTCCCTGGAGCCTTCAGCGGCTGCGGCGCCGTCGCCTCAACCTCATCGGCTGGCTTAGCTAAGACAGCCTCACCCAGCTGCACCTTGCTGCATTGGCAACAGACGAGGTTGTTGACCAAGAGGTTATTCTCAAGTGTTGGTATCATCAAGCCGTACAGGTCAGGGGTTCCTGTGTACAAGAATCCAGGTTGGTGCGATCCATGCACAATGGTAAACAAGATGCAAAAACAAAATACCTTCCCAGGTTGAGATTCCATCAGGTTGATATATGCGCATTCCAGCAGATCAGGCTCGCCCGCAGCCAGCTGCGAGTGTCCTCCGGGTCCGCGCGCACGTTCTCGCCCCTCGGCCATGCCGCCTGTCCCGTTAGTCAAGCCCCTATCTCTTCACCCAAATCCTTAACTCGCACCCGGCCGGCCATCGAGACCAGTCCGAAAACGACCTAGCGCCTAAAACCCCACCAAACACAGTCCTCCCACTTGCCAAATTTGCGAACACTTTTCGCCCTTCAAAAGCGACCCCTCTTCTCTTCTCCAGACCCAGACAACGAATTTCCGTTTCGCAGTCTCGTTCATTTTTCACACCCCTCGACCTTCTCAGACAAACCGCCAAGATGATTATCTACAAGGTACGACACCAAGCCCCTTCAGACGACATACCGATGGTCTTGCAGAGGTACACGAGCTAGATGGATTCTGTACCCCGCCATTTTAGGCGGCGGAGGAAAAAAGCGACAGAAAATGTTTTTCTTGATAGGGGGATCGGAAAGCTAACCAGAACCCCGCATTGAATAGGACATCCTCACCGGAGACGAGATCATCTCGGACTCCTACGACCTCAAGGAGATCGCTGGCACTGTCTACGAGGCTGACTGCGCCATGATCACTGAGGGCACTGTCAACGTCGGTTCGTAATACCCTACCATATACCCCCTGGGCGCTTACCCCGCGCCTACTTCCGGTTCCAGCGAGAAGAAGCAACAGCGACAGGATGCTAACGGAGCAACGCTCAGACACCGGTGCCAACGCTTCCGCCGAGGAGGCTGACGAGGGTGTTGAGGACGCCGAGGTCAAGGTCAACAACATCGTCCACTCTTTCCGTCTTCAGTCCACCCAGTTCGACAAGAAGAGCTACTTGACCTACCTCAAGGGTGCGTAAACTACAGGCGAATCATGGCCAGCATATCGAAATTGAAGTTCCGCTAACACTGTTGCTCAAGGCTACATGAAGGCTGTCAAGACCGCCCTCCAGGAGAAGGGTGCCGATGAGGCCAAGGTCAAGGAGTTCGAGACCGGCGCCTCCAAGTTCGTCAAGGAGACCCTCCTGCCTAACTTCAAGGACTTCGAGTTCTACACTGGCGAGTCCATGAACCCCGACGGAATGTAAGAAGCAACCCCAATTCATATCTCTCCATATTTGGATACTGACTTTGATCAGGGTCGTCCTCCTGAACTACCGTGAGGATGGTGTCACCCCCTACATCATCGTCTGGAAGCACGGTCTTGAGGAGATGAAGGTTTAAGAATCTCGACGGAAAAGTTCTGTTTTCGAGATTTTCTTCGGTGCTGGGCTCCATTTTACGTCTGGACACCTTGCTATAGCGTCCATCTGCTTTGGCATATATCCCTTCAGATCCTTAGCAAGCAAAAAAGTGAAAAAAGAACACTCGGTGTTGGCCGTAATATTTTGAATGATTCCTCGGATGCTGAAGTGAACTGCAGATACTGCTTTTGTTCTTATTCAATGCCGGCACCGATTATATCTACAGAGTGCCGTTCCCCGCAGGGTGGCCTGACTGACCGTAACAAAGAACGCCACAAATGCATGCCTTATGTAATGACAACGACCCCGCCTCTATCCATGCGCACTACTCTAGAACGTCGGCTTGGTTGCCAAGGGAATCGGAGGGGGCTCATCATCGCCGGGCGGCGTCGGCTGAGGTGCCCCGCCGATCTGAGGCTTCTTCTTCGGCGGCGGAGGCGGAGGCGGCTTCTTCTTACCTAGAGCGTTCACGAGTCCGGGCGGCGGGGACAATGGCGTAGACGCGGTACTCGAATTACCCGCCTGCTGCTGCTGCTGCCCGCTGGCCTGCCCGGCATACTTTCCAACCTTGTCGGCAATGCCGTACTTCTGATTCAGATTGTTTGCACTCTTGACGCCGGCAGCGACCTGCTCCCCATGTCGTTGACGGAAGTTGTTGAACGTGGACGCCGCAGAGCGGGCATCTGCCATTGACACTGATTTCGGGTCCTTGTGGAAGTTGGATGCCGTACGGAGAGCTGCCTGCTTTTGTTCCATTGTAGTCCCTTCCGTTGGCGGCGGGCTGGCTGATTGCCCTGAGCTCTTGCCTAGCTTCGCAAAGCGGTTTTGCAGCTCGTTCATCTGGCCGGTGCTAGGTGGCGAGAAAGCCCCTGATCGCGGGGGCGGTGCAGGACTGCTGTTGTTGGAGCGGGACGGGGGATCGGGGGGAGCCGGCCTTCCAATGCCTAGGGCAGGTACCGATACCCCAGCGGATCCAAGCCGGTTAAGTGCATTTTGGTTGAGGTATCCTCCGCCGCTGGATGTCGGAGGAGGTGCAGGTGATGCTGGCGCGGTAGCTACCGAGGTTGAGGATGGTGTTCGGGGTGGAAGTCTCGGGGGCAGGCTCGGCGGCGGCCGTGTTGCCGTCTGGCCGGGGGTCCTTCCGTCGGCGCCATCTTTCCGTCCCGGCGGCGGGGGCAGGTGAGAAGTCGACAAGCCCGTCGTGTTGACCCGGAATGGCTGTGGCGGAGGCGCCTCCTCTTCCTCTTGTTGCTGGGCGTAGCGATTGTCCTCGTAAGGCGGAGGCGGTACACCAGGCGACGTTGCAGTCGATCGTGGAGGCGGCGGCGGGATAGGTTGGCGTGGATCTCTCCTCGGCGGCGGTGCAAAAGAAGAGGGATCTTGTAGAGACGATAGTGGTCTGGCGACGTGGTCTGCTCGGTCCTTCTCCTTGTTCCTGCCCAAAAGTCCATTCTGCCTCTCTTCGTCAGCTTATCGATTGCGTGCTTTCTGCCCTGATTGACCGAACGCACCACTTGGCCCTTGAGCGTAGTTCCCTCTTTCTCAGGATGCCACCCATTTTTCATGAAATTGCCGAGTCCTGAAGACATTGTGCCGCACGCAGTTTCTCGAACGTCGAAAAAAAGATTCGATGAAAAGGGGAACACCCAAGAGAAAACGATGTTCGACTCGGGTTTCGGGCGGTGTGAAAAGAAGAGACAGGCGTGTCCGGTTGTGCAATTAATGTAAAAGCGTCTCCGGTGGAGGTTCAATCATGGATGTCTCCAGTGGTGGCTCTTCGTCAGCGCTGCATCCTGGTTCGCTGCGTGACGTCGGCTGGTGTGGCAGTGACACTGGACGGGAGTGGGCGCCCCCCGCCCCGGTCACTATTGGGCCGCTAAGAGAACGGGCAGTCGGGCGCTGGCAGGGCCGCCAGCGGGCAGATAAATCGTGCTGGGCGCCTTGCGATTCAGGCGCGAAAAAAGCGCCCCTCTGCTGAAGGAAGCAGCGCCCTGGGCCTGGACTAAATATTGACTTTCGTCGCGTCGATCGCGTCTTCGAACTGCATGTCATCGTTGCTGTTTTCCTGACTGCGACCAACCCCGCCGATTGACTGCAGCCCAACAGCCCGCGATGGCGCAACGAAATATTATCGACGTCGAACTGTTGACTGAACACCTTGGATACGCGCCAATTGTACGTTGGTTTCTCATTCCTAGCCAGTGCATCTTGGGGTGATTGTGAGGCTAACTGCGGCGTAGTCGCTCCTCGACAGCATCATCAACAACGTCAACGCAGTCGCCGACAAGACCCTCGACCGTGTCGAGCAGGGCCTCTCCAAAGCCCCGCCCAAGGCTCTCGGATTTGAAAAGGCACTCAAGCAGCAGAAAAAGAAGGCAGCTTCAATCGAACAGCAGGCCAATGTCGAGGAGACGGCAAAACTAGAGATCGTTGACGGGGTGCACAAGCTCGAGACGTTACTATGCGCAGCCATCGACAAGAACTTTGACAAATACGAGTTGTACGTGATGCAGAACATCCTGGGCATTCAACCAAGCCACCGAAACTGGATGCGCCTGGCCCACTACGACGGTCTCGACTTTACGGCAGGAGCACACGAGGACGCACCGACGAGGGAGAGCGTCGACGCGCTGAGGCGGAAGTTGCAGGCCAGCCAACGGCTGAATGTCATGCTTCACGCGGAACAGGCCAAGAACGCGGCGCTGCTGGCGAAGTTGAAGGAGGTTGTCGGCGGTAAGCCCGCCGGCGCCAGGAGTTCGCTGGGAGCTGCGGAGGTCAAGGTTGAGGGTGCGGACGACAAGGCGCCGTTCCAGTTCTTGCACAACAAGGGTGACTTGACAGGGGCCGACGCCAAGACGCCGATCACGACCACTACAGCGTTCAACTTGTCACAGCTGCAGGCGCTGCGGGCTCTGTCAACTTCGCTGAGGAATATCATGCCTGACCTGAAGGACCCAGCCAACACCGAAGAAGGAGCAGAGAAGAACAAGAGCTGGAGGCGGGAAAGAATGGAGTACGTCGAAGGCGAAACGAGGAAGCATCTTGAGAGCGTCAGGGGCCTCGAACTGGGCAAGGACGGAGAAGTTCGAGACGGAGAGTGGCAAGGCGAAGGAAGAAAGTTTGCCAAGGGCGAAGTTGAGGGACTTGAAAGCGTGGTCGCAGCCCTTGGGGGAGGCTCAGGTGAGCCTGCTGCACAAGACGATCCGGACGCCATGGACGAGTCATGATTCACTCAGCTTGTTTGAATTGCGATGGGATTGTTATTCCAACCACACCACGACAGAAATACGGCGCCTATCATTCGCTATCTTTCTTTGCTAAGCGGGCTGTGGCAGCACCGGCAACGCCTCCAAGAGATGAAACTCTACATACAGAGCACACACGCTCAGCGCTGTAGCAGCCGGGAGGTGCCATATCCGTTTCACAGCCGGGCACCATCATTAGTGGTGTTGAAGGCTTGTCAATCACAGGTCTGTGGGCCGACACCGCGACGGTCCCCAGCTCGTTTCCTGCTGCTGGGATCTACACGAAAAGAATTGGCAAAGCATCATTTCGAGTAAGCTGGGCAGCTGCCAGTCTCAGAGATTCGTCGAATCGCCAATAGCTTGACCGAGCTCGTACCCGCCCACAGCTTCTAGAACTTGGATGCAACTCTAGACACAGGCCACATCGAGTCCAAACGCTCAGTCAGAAGTTGGGCGTCCGGGTGCGTCAAGGAATGGAATAGGACGGTAGAGTCATACATCGCAGGTGGGCGGGAGGGACCAAGAAACATTACGACGTCACGAATCGAACGGTCATGTCAAGTGTGAGAAGGGAGGAAGTAGAATCAACAAGTACATACCAGATGAGCTCGAGAAGGGCAACTGAACCATGTTTCAAACTCCTAATCTTACAAAAAGCTACTGCACCCGAGATTCGTGATTTCATATAAACGAACCAGAGCGTCGTAACTCTAGTCCCTGTCATACTACATCGGGCTTGATTGAAAGGGCTGAGAGCAGCTGCAGAATAAGGGGGGTCTTTGGTCTTCGAATGAAGAGAATCGCGGCCGCCCAGCCACCTCCCGAGGTCATTACAGCCAACCTAGAATTGTTTTCCACAGCTCTGCTGCAATGTCCAGGTCGAGTGTGTGAAGGATTAGCCAAGTGACCACATGATCGACTCGACCGCTTTGGTTGAGGTCGCCATGAGCTTTGACGATGTTCTGTGACGACGGCGGCCAGAGATAGATAGCAAGCGAGCATGTTCTCTTCTCGCAACATCTCCTTGATGATCCATAGCATTGTGCATGAGTTTTGCTACTCGGGCGGATAGTATGACGCAATAGTAGTACTAAAAACAATGAGGACGACCAGGGTGATAACAAGAAGGACAATAATGAAGGAAAAGGTCATTACGCTGATTTCATGATGGCAATATAACGATACCACATCTTTCTTGCCCAGTGTTCAGCCATGATGTTGCTCAGCACTGTCGCTGGTCCTAGACAGGGTTGGCGGAGTGACCTAGCACGCATTAGAGATATTAAACGGAAGCCCTCGGGTTAATGTTGATTCTACTCATTGTATTTGATCTACAGCTAGCGCGAGCCTGCTGCTATGTACTTCATTCTCGTGACTAAACGCCTATCTGCTGGTTGATGATTGATTGTTATGCTCCCGTGACCCAAACCCATTCCCATTAACACCAGTGAATGTAATACAAAACCACTGAAAAGGACAGAAAAAAAAAATCACATCTCCTCACTGATACCCTCAGAAACCTGGTCCCACTCCTTGCACCATCCGAACCAGTATCTTCTGCGACACTCGGGCTCTGAAGGTGCCTTGGTAGGTGCCGTGGTCGGAGTTGCGGTCGGCGCGGAAGGGGCGGAGGTGATGAGATGCGAAGTGGTTGTTATAGGTAGAGAGGCTGTCGTCGAGACCGCGTCCTTGCATCCCCAGAAACGTCCTGGCGTCATGCAAGTGGTCGTGGCAGACTCACTTGTCGTCGTTGTTGACGTAGTAGTTGTCGTAGTGGACGTAGTCGTCGTCTTGTCCTTGCATCCAAACCATCCGGGTGTCTTGCAAGTTGACGTTGTCGACGTAGAGGTGGTGGTTGTGGGACCGCCCGTAGTCGTCGTCTCGTCCAAACATCCCCACCAGCCAGGAGTCTGGCATGTGGCGGTGCGGGTGCGAGTCGTCGATCTTGTCGACGTCGAAGACTTGGATGTGGTCGTGGTCTCGGTGCCGTTACTCTCGTACATCTTCCAGTTGACGCAGTCACGGCATTCGGGTGTCGCGTGGCATACGGGGACATTATCATACTTCTCGATCACGTCGTGGATAACCGATCGAATCTTGTGCGTTCCAATACCAACGCGCCATCCCTTGTCGGCCACTACGTCGTAGACACACTCAACTCCAGTATGGCAGGCAGACTCCATGGCGTATCCGGCGAATGAACATGTCGCAGTTGCGCCGTTGCAGGTGCCGATGTAAATGGGGTCTGCTGTGTGGCCAAAGTGGAAGGCGCCGGTATTCTGACGAGCTTGATGGACGATCTGCTCGGCTCCCGGAGGTACTGGCAAGCCCAGTCTGCCGGCAGCGAGCGCCTCTGGTACGGCTTCGAAGGTAACGACAGGCACACCGTAGGTTAACCCCAGTAAAGAGCTAACCGCGCCACCCAGGGAGTGGCCGGACAGCCAAATATTTGCATCGGGGAAGATCTCGGTGACGTTGGAGTATAGTTCCTTAGCGGCCGTATAGTAACGGTGCTCATCCTTGAGTGCTTGAACGACGCAGGTGTTGTTGCATGAATAAGTAGACGTGGCGCAGTCGCAAACTTGATGCCAGGTCCACTGTCCTTGCTGAGCACAGCAGCAGCTGAAGAACAGGTTGTCGTTGACTTTGTCATTGGTGGTGGTGCCATCGCCGTCGAACACCGCGGGGGACGTGCCCTTCAGTCCGATGACAACAGTCGAGTTCGTCGCATCGGCCCAGATGTGACCGCGCAAACCGTCGGTCTCCCAACCAAAGTCCGCACTCCTGTTGTACGGGCCACCAACTTCTTCCCAGTCCGCTTGTCCCTCTTCCTCGACGTATGCGTTCGCTGCCATCATCGCCATACTCAGCACGGTCGCCTTGTCGGTGATATTGGGTCCGGGGACTTCGTCGGTGGTCCAGGACGACGGCGACATGATGTTGACATAGCCGCGCTGTCGGGCTTCGGTGACCATGGGGTCTACGACAGACGGGCGGCGATCGACCAAGCGTTCTATCTTAAGAGGCGAGCTCCGAGCCTTCAGAGGCAGGACCCTCTCCCTCTCGAAGCCATCCTCGGCGGTCAGCCACACCTGGCTTTCGGCGTCGTTTGCGTGGCTTCGGACATCCCTCCGTCGGTGTAAGTCAGGATGACGATATGTGCCGTGATGGAAGACGTGTCGTAGTGTAAATAGGTGCTCGTCTGAAAGGGGTTGTTGTGTGGTTGGCGGCAGCAACGGTCCAGGAGGCAGTACTGCCTGTTCTTGTTGGGGAGCTTCCCCTGCGGATGTCAAGGTTGGCGATACCGCGAGGAACGATAAGAGCAGCTGGGCCGTGACTCTGCCAGCAGAAGTGCATGCGCCGCGGTTCCCTAGTTTTAGTCGCATATTTGGTGGTTGTTGTAGAATGGAGGATGGTTGACCAGAGAGCCAGGCGAAGACGGGCGACAGTCTGGTGTTGCAGATATGAATCCCGAGGTTGGGGAAGGGCGGACGGGATCAATGATGCCGACGTTGAGATGCAGAGGACTCGCGTGCCCGTTATGACAGCATCAGGTGGGCAACTGGCGGGTGTTTACGTCGCCTCCGAGTCGCGGAGGGTGCTCAGACCAGGCCTGATAACCCACTGCTGTATCCGGCAGGTCTCCGCCTCCAGATCTCTGTTAAGATCTTAGCGTAGAGGGCCGCTTTGACGATAACAGATCCCCTGAAACAGTACTCAAGACACCATGCCTCCTGATAAGGCGCAATCAGGGAAACCCACACCAGCATGTGACCATGGTCACTTCAGACAGTGCATGTCTTCTGTATTTCCAGCCAGTCGGAGGCCTGACACTCGTTCGTGTCCGCCACTTTGGGGCATCAAGGTCATCTTCAGCGGACGCTCGGTAACTGGACGATCCCGTCGCGCTCCCCAGGCACCCAGGGCGGTGCAGCCGCCATGGATACCTAATTTTTGACAGCCCGAGGCAAATCAAGCGTATTCATGCTGGAGATTGTCTACGGGGCTTAACACGGGATTCTGCAGGCAGTGTTGTGGACGGTGACCTGACCGCCCAGGTCTCTCGAGCACCTTATTGGGATACCTGAACTGCCTAAGGTACATTGACGATTTGAAAGCAGCTTTGGCTGCCTTCATCCTCTGTTTGCTGCGTTAGGCGAGAGTCGAGGATAGCATGGTGCCCAAGGTTGGATAACAGATCGAGATGGCAACATGTCTGGCCCAGGTCAGAAGGTGAAAGTACCGACCTAACCAAAACGGACGAGACGGTGAAGCATCATTCGCCCTGTAGTAGAGCGCGGCTCCTGGACACGAGGTGAAGTAGCCTGAGAGCCACTACGCCCTGCCCTGCCTAAATCAAGCCCCCTGTCATGCCTATCCGTAGCTCCCCAGTACATGCATGCACTGAAGGTCGGATCCGTCTGCAGATGACACCTTCCACCTTTTCTAGTGTTCCAATGAGACAAGAGCGGGGACGAAAGCTCCCTCAGTAGCTGCCCGTTGCTTGCGTTACGTCGCCTTGTTCATGTTGCGCTGAAGCTTCCATTCCATCTGCAAAGACATCGACTTCCACCTTGTTGCTTTTGCTTCTTCTGTGCGGGCACCGAGCAGGCCGTGCTGCCATCGCAAAGAAGCCCATACATCATTCTGTTATAGATGCGAATAGAAACATAACTGCCATCTTTGGCCATCCTGCGATCCATTATCCCTGCCAACCCGCTCCATTTATGGCATAAATCCGCCTCACACGCGACTCAACCGTCCCGCGTGCTGCCGCCAGGGATCTCTTTCCTCTGATATCGGGTTTCAAGACCGGCTCAATACTTAATGCCGCCCTGACGACAACAGGTATGCACTTCCTGAGCCCGCGACATTGGCCTGTCTTTTCGCACTCTTGCAATCTGCACGGCTGACAACGATGGCTTCTAGCACCGTCGAAACCCTCATGGCGTCCACCGGCCCATCCAAGTCTCCCGCTGCTCGGCCGAGCACCATACGAGCCCCATCATTCACTCGCCAGAGCGAGGACAGCGATCCTCTGAGAGTACCGAAGCGAGCCCAAACATTTCAGAATGGCTCTGCAACCGACCCGTTGGCCACGCCGGCCGTCCCCAGCAAGTCGAAACAGGCAGACGAACCAGAGGCCCCAGATGCCTTTGAAACACGACCCTCAACAGATAACGACGATGGCTTCGATGGCAGAGGATCTGTGGATCTGGGCGAGTTGCCAATCGAGCTTGTGAGCTTGACTGACAGGTAGCGCACCTGATGGCTTTCAACCTAGAGTACGAGGATCTGACAGAGCACAGCTTCGTCGAGTCGCTGACCACGAAACACCACCCGACGCCACTGAACATCGACAATGTTTCCCAGCTTTTCCAGGATTTCTATCAAGTCGCATCTACACACATCAACACCCATGTTTCTTCGCTGGTCTCCCGGCATAACCGGGAGGCGTCTCCCGCCCCGTCCGCGTCATCCAAGGTCTCCACAGCCAGTAGGCTTCGAGCCAAGGCAGCGTCTCTCGGCAACAAGGACAAGCCCAAAGTCCTGCCGAAGGCCGAGCCAGAACAGCAAATGATCACTGCGGAGGAGCTGGCCAACAAGAAGAAGGCTCGAAAGGCGATCGAGGCTAAGCGGGGAGTCATCGAGGAGGCCGTCGAGCGAAGGCTATGTGAGGGTATCTATCACAAGATTTATCGCCACAAGAGCACCCAAGATGAGGCGCAAGATGCCAAACTGCGGTCCAAGACTGCAGCCTTGGCCCTTGTTGGTATTGGACCCTTAGACCTTGGAATCGATCTTGGAGACGACAAGGCGCAGACACCTGAGGCGGCTGTCGAGAAAACCGAAGAAATCAAGAAGTGGCTGGAGCAGGCCAGGAGAGACCTCATCATGATGAATGAGAAGAGGTATCCGCTTGGCAAGCTTCACCATCTGAAGGCAGCTCATAAGAGCATTGTCGAGACTTTGGCGCACTTCCATCCGTCTGCTTCCGCGGATGAGATCATGCCGATGCTCATCTTCGCACTCATCACGCTTCCTCCTGAACACTTGAACGTCATAAGCGACTTGCACTTTATTCAGTACTTTAGATGGGACACCAAGCTGACGGGTGAGGCCGCGTACTGCTTGACCAATCTGGAGGCGGCCATTGCCTTTCTGGAGACGGTCGATCTATCCACGCTAAGGGCGGATGAGCTACCCCAAGGTCCTGGAAAAGGTCCGAGCCAGCCGGGGACGCCCCGCGCTGACACGTTCCCTCCGGCCTTCCCGCCCGGCTTGACGGTAACAGCGGACACAACGGTGGAGACCGCTACTGGGAATGCTACCCCAACGAAGCCGCCCGCTTCGCCCTCGGCCTCGGCCGGGCTGCGTGCTGCAGTCCAGGCTCGGAATAGAAGACTGAGCGAACTCGTCAATACGCCTGCCCAAGCCATTGGCGCTGCCAGTGATGCTGTTCTCAACACTGCTGACCAGCATATCAAGACCATTTCAACGAGCTTGGGCGATAGCTACAAGTTTCTCGTTGGCAAATTGCGGGAGTCTCAAGGGTCACCCACGGAATCGGGTCAGGGGCTTGTCGTGCCAAAAACTCTTGATGATGCCAGGAAACTGGTCAGCACCCCGCCTCCCGAGGAGGAGGGCTCAGTGAGCGGTGCCAGTTCCATTCACGGAACAGAGGATGCCGACTCCACCCGTCGAGCACCCTTACGAGAGGACAAAATGTTGAACCTCATCGGCGGACGGAAACCTAGCAGAGACCACAGTGCCGACAGTTCTCGCAGCGTGAGCAGTTCCAAGAAGGCTACGCTGCTGAAAGAGAATGACGAGAAGGGTTTGCCCACGTCGTCGCCAGCATCGGGCTCAAACCCACTCGACTCTGTGCGCAACTTTGGCAATTCGCTCTCCAGGTTCTCTGGCATGGGTATGATTCGTGGCCTTAGTCGGACTGCGTCTACGCCCGTCGTGGCCAAGGAGATGTCACCGCCAAAAGACGGTCCGGCCAAGGCAGCCGAAGGTGTCGACCTGGCAACGGTACGTTTCCCATGGGCAGCAGCTAGGATTCGAGACTAATTTTGATGCAGGCCTTCCCAGATATCGCGGCCGCTTTGCCGCCTAAGCAAGCGCCGCCCCCCAAGCCAGTGCCACAGATCAAACCACCCAACAAGCGATTCATGGAGCTCCAGAATGCGGGCGATCTCAAGCTTAACGAAGTACTGGAGCTGTTGCGTGACTACAGGAGACTGGCAAACTCGTTGAAGGATATAGGTGCATTCGAGAACCAGAAGTGAGATTATATGTGGCGGCGGCCTTGACAGGCAACTTGCGTTCATTACGAGTAGGACAGGGGCAGCATACCGGAGACATTGGCGTTTTGATATTTGATATGGGACCTGTCGGCAGTCCAGGCTACAGGTACAGCGAGGCTACACCACTGGCACATTATACAAGGAGGGTCGTGTGGTATTATTACTAGACATAGGGTTTTTACAAAGTAGCTTGAAATAAAAGAAAGACCGTCATACCCCACATCCTCCGTGGCTGATCAAGATGGGAAAGTGCTGATGCTATCGCATGAGCAAACATCCTGTGCGAGCACTTGTTTCCGGGAAGTCTCCGGGCGCCGGTGGGATAAAAGCAAGAGTGCCTCTCCGTACATTAAACATGAACATCGTCCCTGTCAATGGCACGGCCATCATTTCATGATGATTTTCCGAGGCACCAGCAAAGAAGAAGAGAAAGAAAAAGAAAAATGAAGGGTTTCTACTCTGATTTTTGGTTTTTATATGTACCTGACAGAACGACAAGAAAACAAAAGGAGTGAGAGAATATCCATTTCGCTCCCTGCGACGACAAGAGACTCGCTCGCGCCCTAAACACCCAACCAATGCTGTGGAAACGATGCTTGAACGCCCGCCTCCCTCTTCCCCAACCTCTCTCCACCTGTTGCTTCCCCCGGTTCACCCGTTTTCAGAGGCCCGGGAGCTGGGGATGTGTTTGGAGGGCCCTCGCCCAGGGAGGGATACTAATGTTTTGTGTGTGTGCGTGTGTGATGGTGGTGGTTGCGGTATATATACCTTTTCGGTTTTTGTTTGTGTGAAGTGTGTGTGGTTTTGGACATAGGAAAGACCCCCGATGAGAAGAATTTGCCTCCCTGCTTCCCAGACCGTTCCATTATTGTCCGTTGTGTGGCTGTTTTGATGCTTTTTGGCTTATTTGATTTTACGTTTTTTCCTCCCCGAGTGGTCTAGTGGTTACCGTTCAACTTGGGGTCCTTGGGCGGCACTGTGCTCGCGCGGTTAGTGCGCTCCTGGAGCACGCCGATGGGCACATTGCCAGCCTCCTTCTCGTCGTTGATCATCTTCTCCATGAAGGCGATGTAGTCGTACTGCGGCATGCCGCGGTCCTCGGAGGTGTCTGGCCCGTTGTGCGGCGGGATGATCTCAATGAGCTTGTCAATGACCTCGTCGGGTACCAGGGAGTGGCGGAGATCCATCTCAGTAACGTAGGGCTTGCCATCGGCGACCTCACGGAAGGACTGGAAGACCTGCTCGGCGGTGTTTTGGTCCTCGGTCACGTCAACCATGAAGCGGATGAACTGCTCGAAAGTGACGTGGTCGCGGCCCTTCGAGGTATCCATGAAGTAGTCGTGCATCTCATCCTCGGAGAAGACGAGGCCAAGGGAGGCAAGGGCGGCGCTGAATTCGAGTTCTTGGAGTGAGTTGGTGTCGTCCCGGTCAAAGTGGCGGAAGACAGACTCAAACTCCTCAAGCTGAATGGGCGTCAGGTTGGTCATGTTGCGAGCGACCATCTGGTTGTCGAGGAAGGAAAGCTTCTTCTGCACCGAAGACTTGACTAGGCTGTGCTCATAGACCAACTCATCGTAGGTGTAAGTGGTGAAGTCATTCTCCTCAATGTTGGCCTCCTGGCACTTGGCGTCCACTGCAGCAATAGTGTCGAGATACTTGTCGAGAGGGGGGAGGTTGTCGCTGAGCTTGCGGACGTGGTGCAGTTGATCCTCAACATCACCGTCCAGACCTGAGATTGCCAGTTGCATGGTATTCAGAGCCATGGCAAAATCGTTGGCCTTGTCGGCGAAAGATTTGCGGAGGGCGTTCTTGATGCTGCCTTGAAGTTAGTACGAGAATCGTTACACTCTGGAAAGATGCAACACTCACTCTCTGATGGTTTCGTTGATCAGCTGTGCCCGCCTCATCTCCGTTTGCGCCAGAGTTGACCATTCCTTCTCCATCGTCTCCAGCGACAACTCTGGTGGGGGGTCATACGGCCGCAGCCTGTACGTGCCCAACTTCGTCTTGATGTTGCCCAACAGGGTGGCGAGCTCGCTCTTCTCGGCAACCCAGTCTCTCTTCTTACCCCTCTTGAACGCCGCGAACTCGTTGGCTTGAGCTTTGGCATCGGCATACGTTCCTTGAAATGTAGCCTGCTGCCACTTCTCAACCTGCTCCCTGATCTGCCTCAGAAGCTCTCTCATGCGCCTCTCGTACGCGCTTTGCATCTCCCAAGCGCCAGCCATATTGTTGACAAACTTCTCCACGCGACGTCCCGCATTCTCGACCTTCTCCATCTGAGAGAAGGCGTGGAACCAGTAGGCGATGTAGGTCATGAGTGACCTCTCATCGGGCTTGGCAACGTCACACACATCCTCAACATCCAGCAGCTTAGGAATACCAATCTCCTTGTGCGCGATATCGAAAGCCATCTGCATGTTTCCCCGACGGTCCGACTTGTCGAGGGCGTCGTAGTCGATCAGGTCTGGTCTGTGAATATCGAGCAGGGCGCAAAAGGCGAGACCGTCGTTCCAGCTGCCGCTGAAGTCGCGGACCTCCACCTCGTCGTAGCAAGCTGTCTTTCTTTGACACCACAGGAGCAAGCCCTCCTTGGCTGTCATACCCTCCTCGTTGATGTCACTGATTGTGAACCGCAGAATGAGTGTCCAGATCAGACCAAGGATGATTTTCTGGTTGCCATCGACGACATCCTCGGCACCGATGTTGGTCATCTGAATGCCCCTGGACTTGATGAAATCCAAACCGGTGTTGACATTTTCGAATCGTTGAACGCGAAGCTTCGGCTTCGCCGCGTAGCGTCCCAGTGTGTCGTTGGACAGGCTTTCTAGCAAGTGGATGAGGATAACCTGCGCAAGCAATTTCTGTTAGCCAAGAGAACCCCGCAATTCTGGGAATAGGGGCTTGAAACTTACACCATCGCTGAGATCACGCACGAGATCCTTGACTTCGAGTGAACGAGCCTCCAACTTGGTGTTGAGCCTGGTAAGAAAATACACATATCAGTAACTGATCGTCACCACCACGGACAGAACCAGGGTCTTTTTCTCGGGTGGGGTCCGGCTCGTACCATTTGGTAAAGGTCTTTTGCTGGACCGTGATCCATTTCTGCTGTTCAGCAAACGCCATTCTCGTCAAGCCCTGGTCATGCGGCGGCTCAATGGCAGCGAGGGCATCGGCGGGGGAGGATCCGGTGGCAGAGCGGAATCGGTTCTTCTTGGCGACGCTCTCCTTGCGAGTTAAAGCGAGGCTGCTGCTTCCAGATCTCTGCAGGCGCTGCGCATGCAACTCCTTTTTGTCTCGTCGGCTTCGCGGGCTCGGTGTGGTGCTGGCGGAGCTGTTTGTACGGAAACGCGAGTCGGGGGAGGACTTTTCTGGAGTCGAGTGCTCGGTGTTGGTCGGTGTGGTCGGGGTCGTGGAGGCGGGTGAAGATGTAGAGGTGTGGCTGCCGGTGGTGGATTTGGTGCCGGCCGAGTGGTCGTGTAAACAAAACTCGGGGAATTCCTCGTTGCACTGGACGTTGCCGGGCAGACTCGAGCCTGACAGTGGGCGCTGCCCCTGAGGGCCTCCCCCGGTGGACGTCATTTCGGGCGATTCTAGTGGCTCGCTAAGTCGACTGGCAGCGCTCGTCCGCTGCAGGCGCCGGGATTTCGATAGTGATGTGGCTTATCGATAACGGCCCAACTGCCGGTCTGCTAGGATGAGGGGGGGAAACGTTTCTTCTGGACGTCTTCTAAGGGTGCCTCTTTTAGCAGGTGAATGGAATGTTGTGGGTGAATATGTCTGTGTCACTTACAGCTAAAAGACACTAAGGTTGGTTAGCAGGTTCAATGCGTGTTGAAAACAAAACAGGCTGGCAACACGGCAACGGCGAGAAGAATATCGAGGAAATCAGTCACACCACAAGCCGCAATAGGGGAGACTTCGCAGTTTATACCATCCATCGGATTCCCTCCAACGCATTCCAACGCCTTCAGTCTCTTCTCAAGTACAGACGAAAGACGTCGCGCGGCGCCAACAGAGCGAGGTCTCCCCCAGGCGCAAGATCCCTTCTGAAACAAGAGCCTGTCTCCCGTCCCTCCACTCCACGATCAGGAACGCGCCCCTTTCTCCCATGTCTCCCACAAGGACCCCGTTGATCCCTCCGCTAAATCGGCCCTCGACGAGTGCTCGAGTCGTCACTGTCGCCGTCGCCCTCGTCACCCCCAGCGCCAACGGGCCCGCCCCCTCGTCCCACTGTCTAGGCCACTCATGCATGCCATAATGCTTGAAGCTGATCGGCAGGGATCCCCAAGGGTGCCATGGAGGTCGTGACTTCCAATTCTGGCCGTCGCGAAGCCTCTTCGTCGTCGCGGATAAGGCAGTTGCAAGAGATAGGGGGAGGCTTGCAGGTCTTGTCTTATGCTATTCGCCGGGCCCTCTTAGTTGCCCATCCTTGAACAATGGCCTCAATGGCCCGTTCTGGCTTTTCTGTCTGCATTCTTGGAACATTCTCCCCTTCAGCCACTCTCCATTTTGTGGGGGAAACCGCCGACAAAACGGCGAACCGCTCGAGGATCGAAATTCCTGTGACGGGGATCAGTTCCTCTATCCGCAACGTCGTCTATCCCGTGCCGCCGGTCTCCCGCTGTAATCCTCCGAGAGACCCTCGCGCGGTGGAGAGAAAAGGTCGAGGACGCATGAATGCACCGCGGGTACTCTGACGAGGCTCGCGTCAAAGAGCTCAGACGGAGATTGGCAAGGACACTTTGCCCAGATCCCAAATCTTTTAGTTTCACAGGCCTGGACATGGCCGATGCTGTTGCTGGTGCTAGCACGCCCGTCTCGTGGCCTCTGCGGACAAGAAGAGGCACGAGGGCCATTTTGCCGGGCGTCTGAGCCAGATTGCGACACGTCCCGCCCCTAGCCGAGACAACGAGCATGAGATGAAGAATGATGAGGTCAGACTTTTGGTCTGAAGAATGAAAAAAGGCATGCAGCCCGATACCGAGGCCAGATCTGTCAGCACGGCACACAGGTGGCAGAATGAGACGGAATTCGCACTTTTCCTCTGTTGGAATGGTGCTTGCTGAGTTAGATGCAATCTTCAGCAGATAAGATTGAAGTGTGTTGCTCCATGACTTTCAGATGCAAGTTGGAAATCGTCTTTGAGACGAGCCAGTTCAGTTGCATTCTACATCGCTAATCTCGACTTGGCTTCGCTTAAAACTGTCTAACTGTGGGCACCCGAGAGGACAAGCCCGTATGCAGCGATCTTGAAAACGGCTTCAGACATAAGACATCCTGAATATGCAGGAGCTTTTGTGTCAACGGGCAAAACACACTGTGAATCTTCTTGCGGCGTGTCAAGTATGAGCTGCGCCTCTTTCGGGTTGCTTGCGCTGAGTCGCAAGTCTTACACCTAAGGCTGATGACTAAGACGACGTCGTTTTGGGGAATTCGAGATTGAGAACCTCACCGGTCCGGATTTCGTCATCCAGGAATGGGGTTTCGAAGGCAAAAATGGGGTATTCACTTGCGAATAAAGCCAGATATTTAGACGATAAACAGCCGGTCGGATCGATGGACAATCGAATGCTGAAAGCCAGTTGGTCCTCCACTCCTCGGCAAAAACAAAACTTTTGCCGACGGCAAAAACCAGCATTTTCACCGAGCCAAATTGTCGGGACTGCTGCACCGAACCACTTGGTCTATGGCACGCAGATTTCAGAAGCACTCCAGGCGCTGTAGCGGGCTTTGACGCCATCGGGTTGGCAATTCCGCACTATTTACTGGCTGTCCCTGCAGGGGATTAGTGCTTAAAGCCGAAATCGGGACCAACGTCACCCAAATCTCGAACCTCACGCAACTTTTTTGATTTCTTCAACCCGCTGGGTCCTCAGTCTTTCAAAACCTAGCCAGGACACACAAGAGAGCTGAGCGCGGCTGTTCGGTGCCCCCTTTCATCCCCTCTTCTTTCCTTGTGTCCCACAGCCACATCAAAGTCATAATGGCCTCTAGATCAAGGATTCAGCCCCTCCTCCGGGCCGCTGCCCGGAGGCAAACACTGCTGAGCGCCGGCAGCCGGCATCCCGCCATGCGGCAGATCTCGGCCCCGGCCGCTACCGCCGCTGCCGCCCGGTGTCTCTCGACCACGGCCGTGAGATGCGCGCAGGACAAGAAGGAAGTCAAGCTCACTGCTGCCGCCTATCCGGATCTGAAGCGGGACTCGCGCTTTGCCGAGGTGACGGATGCTCACGTCGCCTACTTCAAAGACCTCCTGGGCCCCTCCGGCGTTGTCGATGGTGTCACCACCGACGCCGCAGACGACCTCGCGGCTTTCAACGAGGACTGGCTGCGCAAGTACCGCGGCCAGTCGCAGCTTGTCCTCAAGCCCGCGTCAACAGAAGAGGTCAGCAAGATTCTCAAGTACTGCAACGAGCACAAGCTCGCCGTCGTGCCCCAGGGCGGCAACACGGGTCTCGTCGGTGGCTCTGTCCCCGTCTTTGACGAGATTGTCATCAACATGAGCCGCATGAACCAGATCCGCTCCTTTGACGACGTCAGCGGCACCCTCGTCGTCGACGCCGGCGTCATCCTCGAGGTCGCCGACCAGTTCCTGGCCAGCAAGGGCTACATCTTTCCCCTCGACCTGGGAGCCAAGGGCTCATGCCACGTCGGCGGCAACGTCGCCACCAACGCGGGCGGTCTGCGTCTGCTCCGCTACGGCAGCCTCCACGGCAACGTGCTCGGTCTCGAGGCCGTCCTCCCTGACGGCACCGTTGTCGACGACCTGTGCACCCTGCGCAAGAACAACACGGGCTACGACCTCAAGCAGCTCTTCATCGGCGGCGAGGGCACCATCGGCATCATCACCAAGGTCTCCATCATCTGCCCGCAGCGCTCCCAGGCCGTCAACGTCGCCTTCTTCGGCCTCGAGTCGTACGAGAAGGCCCAGCAGGCCTTCAAGGCCGCCAAGGGCCAGCTCGGCGAGATTCTGTCTGCCTTTGAGCTCATGGACGCCCGCAGCCAGGACCTCGTCCACGCCGTCAGGGGCAACAAGCGGCCTCTGGAGGGCGACCATCCGTTCTACTGCCTTGTCGAGACCAGTGGTTCTAACGGCGACCACGACTACGAGAAGCTGGAGAAGTTCCTCGAGGACGTCATGACCAACGAGATCGTCGAGGACGGCGTGCTCGCGCAGGACGAGACGCAGAGCAAGGCTCTCTGGAGCTGGCGCGAGGGCATCCCCGAGTGTCTGGGCCACTGGGGCGGCACGTACAAGTACGACGTGTCGATCCCACTCAAGGAGCTCTACCAGCTCGTCGAGGACACCAAGGTCAAGATGGAGGCGGCCGGGCTGGTCGGTGACACGGACGAGTTCCCCGCCATCGGCGTCGTCGGCTACGGCCACATGGGCGACTCGAACCTGCACCTCAACGTCGCCGTCAGACGGTACGACAAGCGCATCGAGAAAGTCCTCGAGCCGTTCGTCTACGAGTGGATCCAGGAGCGCAACGGCAGCATCAGCGCCGAGCACGGCTTGGGCGTGGCGAAGAAGGCGTTCATCGGCTACAGCCGAAACGAGAGCATGGTTGGCCTGATGAAGCAGATCAAGAATCTCTATGACCCGGTAAGTGGATTCTCGGTTCCTTTCTTTTCTCCTTCCTTCTTCCCGACGGGGCAGATTCGTTTACCCTTCCGTGCCGTTCGTGTAAGACGGCGAATGTGACCCCCATTTGTCACTCTGACTCTCACTTGCTGATGATGATGACTCCCCCCGCCGCCGTGTGCTGCCCCCCCCACACGATGCTGCCTGTCACTGCCTCCCCTCCCGCATAGAATATTGCCCATCAGCCCTGCCTGCCTGGCGTGTGAAAGGAATGCTGACGTTGGGCCAATTAGAACGGCATCATGAACCCTTACAAATACGTCTGAGAGGGCGCCAAGAAACGATACCCCCCATCCCTGAACGGAGACGAGTCCGGCTGCCTTAGCCTTTCGGGCCTGACGTCTGGAAACGGTTTGTTGACGCGTGGTTGGAGCCCACGCCTGTGACACCGGCTGGGTTCCCAGCCAACCAATGGCCACCACCCTCTGGAAAGAAAGAAGGCAATGTGGTTTTGTAAAAGAAAAAGAAAATCAGGTGTGTCGTGTGAGCGAGGCTACGGTCGGTGTGTGTGTGAGCCGGCGCGCGGCGCTCGTGTGCGTATGTGTGGGCATGACTGACTGCGCACTCTCAAAAGCGCCCTCTCGTGGTGGTTTAGAAGACATGACTCCCAATCGGGACATATTTTGAGATTTTTGTCTTACAGAGGGAGAAGAAAGTGCCTCGGCAAGCGTGATTTAGTAGGATATCACACGGCACACACGAAATGCACACTAGATTTATCATCATCATCACCAGAGAGAAGTGAGGGGAATAAAAGAACACAGCCATGAAAAATGTCCAAATCCATCACAATCTGACGATCATCCGCCAATCCTCGGAGCGCCGAACCATGCCCGGGGGACGGGATTGACTTGGATCGGACATGTCTAAGATCGGACGTTGACGAAAACGTGATGCGATCAGTCGGTCAACCCCAGTTCAACAGTCCCCCCAGCCTCAACCGCAGCGGCCCCATGGCGTCCCGAGGACAGGTCTCAGCCCTTTTCCCAGCCCTGGGGGAGAGGGGAGGAGGGGAAGGGGAAGGGGAAGGGGACTGATGACTCTACGTTCCAAGGACAGTAGTCACATACCATAGTATTGATGGGCAACGACGTAAGCACGTCCATTGGCTACGGTACGGCCGCCCCGAGCATCTCCCAAGGTGAGGGCGAAACACCAATGACAATCGCGCCGTCGCCGACACCCGAAGCCCCGCACACCCGCAGACCGGCGTCTCTGGTGTCTGGTGTGATCGTCCCTGCCTGCTGTTCTGGCAGGCGGTGTCAGGATTGGGACTCGTGTGTCTCTCGGCTGCTGCAGTGCTTTTCTGTTTCTCTTGTTTCCCCCCCTTGTCTCGAGGGGATGGTGCCTGAACCCACGTCGTCCCCCGGCCGGCCATTCCGCACCGACTGGCTGACAGTGCCCTGGCAGAAATCTTACATGCTCAACTCTCATTTGCCCCTTTACTGAGGATACTGAGTGCGGCACTGCGACTTGCCAACCTCTCCCCTCAGCACTCTCAGCGGCCGCACCATGTCAGCCTCCGAGCGACCAATCCGGAACCAGGGCCCGTATGTCTCGTGGGGCCTCCGAGCCCGACCCCCTGTCGTCGGTCTGCAGCCCTACGGAGGCAGCTCCTAGGGGGGACGTGCACACCGTAGTTACCGGGGAGGAGGAGGAGCCGAGGAGGACATGGTGAGATGGTTTACACTTTTTTGTTTGCTTTTTGATGTTAGTCCCGCCTGTCAAGTCTCAGGTCGCACTTCCAACGATCCAAGCTTGGCCAGTCGATGCTGTCATCCTTCACCGGGTGATTGACTTGATTCCCACACTTGCGCATTCCCACGCGCCGCATATACGTAGGCACCCTCTTCAAAGACACTGATCTGATACAATCATTTTCCCCATCCAGGGGCCCGGTCTTGGCCACGGATTTGCGCTCCTCGGTTCGATATCGAGGAACGAAACTAGAACTAGATTGATAGCCTCCGCCGATGCCGTCTCATGCAAGGAATCAGAACCGGAACATCATGTTCTCGCAAATCGAAGCTCATCGTGCCTCGGCCGGGGGAATCGTGATGCTCTATCTACCCGCGCCCTGCCTCCGATTCTAACCAAAGGGAGGCATATATTTGATCGTCTCGGAGCGGCCTGCCTGCATACGCAGCCGCAGCCATCTAATTCGCCCAAGCTGTCCCGGGTGTTCAGTTCCCTTGCTCCCAACTGTCCATACACCGTCATGATCCACACTCGGTAGGGCTGCAGCACACCATCCACCAGGTTATCCCGCGAACCATTGTTTGCCTAACACGGTCCCACAGACGTCGGCACTCGCCCACGTAAGAATCTCCCACTCCGCCATCCTGGACCACGGGAGACCTCTTGACGTCCCGCTGCGGCTGTGTTGGGGCATGATATATACCGGGCCTCGTGCGCCTGCCTTTCCGCGTTCGTCGTCTTGAAGAGGCTAGGCCAGCTATGGGCATTGCGTATCTTCCAACGTTGAAGTTTGAGATTTTGATTTGTCACCATGGTTGGAGTCCGTGGTAAGTATAAGGGGTGCGAGACATGCAGGGCCCGGCGAGTTAAGGTAAGCCCTTAGAGACCCTGAAGAGCGCCTCTTGGGAGAGACAACAGCTGACGGCTCGATGACTGCCTTAGTGCGACAACGAACGACCGTACTGTCGGAAATGCATCGACAGCGGCCGCGAATGCGCTGGGTACGAGCGCGAGATGGTATTCATCACCGCAACCATCGACGACGGCGGCCGTTGCTCGTCTCACCCCCCCCGACAGGTATCCGCGTCCAAGAAGTCTCCGAAAGCAAAAGCTGCCGAACAAACGGCGCCTCGCCTTGCACCAACAGAGCCGCTAACACCCGCGTGGGATGACTTGATTTCCTTGTCTGAGAACGGCGTTGTGTACTCGGTGCAGATTGCGACTCTGCATGCCAGGCTGCAGAACGTCTTGCGAGGCGAGGAGGACCGCAATCGATTCAGCTTTCCCATTGCCTTTCCACCATACCTACCCATCGACGTGGAAACCTGGGACAACGGAGGTGACACGGACCTGGCTGCGCAGAACATGATCAGCCTCTTGCCTGCCGGTAACGTCGCCGGTCCACCAGATGGGATATGCGCATTTCTGTTCGAGGTGAGCGGATCTGAGTATCTCCAGAGAGGAAAAAACTGCTAACATGCAGCAGCAAAACCCAGCTTATCTCGTGACGAACGGCATCACCCCCTGGGGCTTACCCCAGGAGAACCAAGATGTAGTGAAGAAGTTTGGGCCGGAACAATTCAAATACTTTCCGAATCACCATTTCTTCGTCAGAGTGTACAGGTGCAATGCGGTAAGGAGCCAAGAAGCACTGTTGTACCGCCAGCGGCTAATTTGTAGGACAAGATCATTCTTGCCCTTCTTCATAGGAAAGCGACCTTCTTATCCTCATTTGAGTGGTGTACAATCCCATGGGAGATGCACCCCAAGAGCATCTTTGACAGACTTTTCGACGTCATCGTCCATCTGCCTGGCATCTTTGCTCGAGTCGACCGCACCATCCCATTCGCTGCAACTTTGCAACGCCGACTGAAAGCGCAGGAACTTTTGAGCAGTTGCTTGCAGGTTGAACAGCAGCTGGAGGAATGGCATACGTTCGCACGCTCCCCGACCCTTGAGCATCCGTATGCGTACTGGATCGAAGAATCGGACGATCAAGATGCGCAACAAGTTCCTTTCGCCAACCCTTTTGTCGACAACTTCGCATTCAAGGACGGGATTACCGCCGTCATGTTTCTGTACTACTGGATGACGCTGTTGCTCCTCCATCGGTGTATCGAGAGTCTGCACCACGCCATATTTCAGCCAGTCATCGAGGATTTTCCGAATATGTACCCGGATCTGCCGCCACATCTACAGATCAATCTAGCGAGATATCAGCAGCGTCGGGAATTCGCGGCCAGAGTGTGCCGTGCACTGGACTTTGCCCTCAACACAACAGTACAGCCCGACTTGCTCGTTGCTCCTCTCGCAACGGCTTTGGAGTTTTACCGAGAGCTCAACTCATCCTCGCGGGATGGAGAGCTGGAGATCATGTGGTGCGAAGGCTTCAAGCTGAGGCTGGCATCGAAGGGACAAGATATTGCCAATGTACTCCAAAGCAGGCAGTGGGCCGACCTGGCGAGATTTTGAACGGAGCGGGCTCCTTGTTTTCGATGGCGCTAGGTTGACGCTGGCAACCAAAATTCCTACACGGCTGTAGACAAAACGGTGGAGGTATTGGGATACACGGAATTGATTTGGCTGCGTGGTGTTGACCGGATGCTTTCAACATTATTTTATCGAGGACCCAGCGGTCGTGGTGGTTGCGCGATGGACTGGCCGCCATCGTGGGAGAGTATTATTTTGTAATATATCATAGGCTGCTTCTGACGCCAGAGTCATGACGACACGGCGAAGAACACACCCGCTGCAGCTGAATGCCTCTTAGAAATGTAAGATTTGTCAGATTGTTGCAAGATTCTTGAAGTCGCCGCTTTCGAAGGGGAGAAAACAGTGCAAGGCTTGTCGTGACTTGAACCTCCCGTCGTCAGTGTACTTGTCATGGAGGACCTGCTTCAGTTCACAAGCAGGTAACTAAGCTGCCCGCGTGTGAATACTGAGATGGGGGGGAAATCTGGTGTAGCTGTGCACGGACCATATGCAGACCTGATCCTAGGAGTTCCCCTCGCTGAGCGTGATGGCGGTGGGCGGGAAGGTCCATTACCCGGACTTTCCCCGGCGGTACAGAGCTCCTGGAGCTACTCAGCCTTCCATGCCAGCGCCAGCAGGTACCGAAGCTTCGTCAGACCTGCAGCCTGCCTACCTTACCTCACCTAGTACTCCATCCATCCTCCACCGACCGCACCCCTTCCATCCACGGCGATTGTCCCGCAGTAACGAACATCTCGCCGAACTGAACAAAATCAAACAACTCCTTTTCTACCAGCCGTCATTCAGCAAAGATGGCTTCCGGCTACGATAGAGCATTGTCTGGTACGTCGCCCTGCCTGTCCGTTAATTGCAATGTGTTGAGCTAACCCACCGCAAACAGTCTTCAGGTCCGTCAACATCTCCCTCGACCCTGCCCAAGCCCGCCAACTAACTTGCACAGTCCCGATGGACACGTCTTCCAGGTCGAATATGCCGGTGAGGCCGTCAAGCGAGGTAATAATGCGCGCCCGCCACATCCCAGGGCGAACTCCAGCTCACTGTTATCATAGGAACGTGTGCGGTCGGCGTCAAGGGCACCGATGTTGTCGTTCTCGGATGCGAAAAGCGATCAGCCATGAAGCTGCAAGACACCCGAATCACCCCGTCCAAGATCCAGCTCCTCGACACCCACGTCTGCCTGGCCTTCGCTGGCTTGAACGCCGATGCCCGCATCCTTGTCGACAAGGCGCGGTTAGAGGCTCAGTCCCACAGACTCACTGTCGAAGACCCCGCCTCGATCGAGTACATGACCAAGTACGTCGCTGGTGTCCAGCAACGGTACACGCAGAGCGGTGGGGTCCGGCCATTCGGTATCAGCACCTTAATTGTCGGCTTCGACAGCGGCAGCAAGGTTCCCCGCCTTTACCAGACTGAGCCTTCTGGCATCTACTCGGCATGGTATGTTCTTGGCCTAGAAACTTGCGTGAAAGCACCATGCTAACCCTCTTACAGGAAAGCCAATGCCATTGGCCGTTCAAGCAAGACGGTTCGCGAATTCCTCGAGCGCAACTACAAGGAGGACATGGACAGGGAGGCTACCATCCGCCTGGCTATCAAGTCTCTCCTCGAAGTTGTCCAGACTGGAGCCAAGAACATCGAGATTGCTCTGATGGCTCCGGGAAAGACAATCGAGATGCTCCCGGTAGAGGAGATTGAGAACTACGTCAAGAACATTGAGCAGGAGAAGCAAGAGGAGGCGGCCAAGAAGAAGACTGGCCGGACGCCAGGAACCGGAAGCGCGGCCATCCTGACGAGAGGCTCCGGTGACGGTGACGAGTAAAGGCATGAAAAGGCGTTGGGTTCGCGGATAGACGACACTGATGAGGGTATCAACCAAATACCATTGTATTACCACCTCTAGACATGCCGTGGGGAATCTACTAAAAACGGTGTCCATAAAATCGCTTGCTGTCACACAAATGCCCAACTAACCTCCAACTCAACCCAACTTGTCCGCATCGTCGGTAGGGTCGAATATCGACTTTCCTTCGACTTGACGGACACGCTCGTCCTTGATCATGCGGCTGTCCTTACGGGCGTCCTCGCCCTCGACAGAGATGGCGGCCTTGGGAGTGACAGCGTCGATGACGAAGTGGTTATCGCAGTGTGGGCAGTATTCGTCGGATTCCTCAAACTCTTGCGCGTCCTTGCGGAAGCACTTCTTGCACTTCTTACAGGCGAAGGTCATGTCGAAGGTTTGCATGAGAGGGTGCCTCTCCTGCTCCTGGTGGCACTCGGCGCAGTCGAACCATTTCTTGCCTGTATGGGAAAAGCGATTAGATGTGTCTTTCCCAGGATGGGGAATTCTTCGGCGGCGTACAGCATGGTGAGCGGATGGCGACTTGCGCGTTCAGGACGTGTTTGCTGTCACGAGCTATTAGCTGGCGGTCAGGGGTCGAAGGCTCGATGGAGCGTACCACATGGTGTATGTTGTTCTTCTGCGTTAACCGCGATTTAAGTCGAATGATTATCTGTCCCGTAGTTCCAGGTTCTTCACTTGTCTTGCACAATCTGGCCAGCGGTTTCGGGGGATATGCAACTTTTGGTGGTGGTCTGGAGGTGAGAAGGTTCCACCAAATATTTGGGCTGCTGATAAATTTGGCGGGGTCCTGGCTTGTCGCCTCCAGTGCCTGATTCTTCCCGCTGCACACCCCGCCGACTGGTGGGGGATGAAGTAGAACGACGGCACTGGTTTTTTGCCAATGAATGCGTAATTCCAGAAAATATGACCATTGCTTGAGAAGTCTTTCAACACTTGCAAAGAGACTCAATACTGTATTCTCAAGTAATTATTTCCCGATCAAAGTTCTTGCTTATGTATTTGCACTCGTTTCTGTAGTGTTGGCATCAGCATATCACCGCGTTTTTCTCTCCCAGTATTCGACCAAGGAACATGATACAGCAAATACACATCGTCTCATAGTTTCGGAACGAAAATTCGATCGAAGGCATCTACTAGATAGCTACGAGAAAGGTAGACAGGCACCTAACCGACTGTCTGTCACTGAGTGCTTTCACCTGGGACCCTGGCAGGTGGGGCACGCCAAAGCTGGAGTGCAGGAGCCCATCCAATAACTTGCCTTGCCTGCCTGCCTTGTCTGCCTGGGCCTGTCCGGGTGTTGCTGCTTACCTACCTGGTACTTTAACACAGGACCCATTTGCAGGCTACATCATTCGCCTCTGCACATTCTCTCTTCACATCATTTCTCTACATCTTTGCGACGCCCGATATCCCACGACATTCATCCGCCACGATGCCGCCGAAGAGGAAGGCTCAAGGAGCCGTCACCGGCAGCCTCAAGGCAGGAAAGGGCTCGGCGGTGTCCACGCCAGGGGGCGCTACCCCCAACAGGAGCGTCGCTAGTGATAATGAATCCTCCGTGGTAGATCCCATCAGCGAATCCGAAGATGAGAACCTCGAGAAGAATGTCGACAAGTTCTCCGTCGACGCCTACCTCGACAGACCAAAAGCAAATGGACAAGAGTCCATGTCGGCGCTGTTCAAGAAGAAGCGCGACTTCTCGTGGCTCCAGATGAAACCCGACTCCACGAACCGCCCTCTCTACATCGACCCAGCAAAGGGGCGCATCTTCTTGGAGAGCTTCAACCCGCTTGCCGAGCAGGCGCAGGATTTCTTGATCACCATCGCCGAACCGATTTCGCGACCGTCCTTCATACACGAATATGCCCTCACGACACACAGTTTGTACGCTGCCGTGTCGGTTGGCTTGTCTCCTGGCGACATCATCAACACCCTGGACCGCTTCTTGAAGATGCCTTTACCGGAAAGCATTCGCAAGTTTATCGAAGGCTGCACACAAAGTTTCGGCAAAGTCAAGTTGGTGCTGAAGAACACTAAATACTTTGTCGAGAGTACCGATCCGGTGATTCTGCAGAAGCTTCTGAAGGATCCAGTCATTGGACCTCTGCGAGTTCACGGAAACGAAGAGATCACAACAACGGCTGCTCCTAAGCAGGGGCCCCTGGTCATTCCAGGCACCGCTAACGCCGCAGGTGTACGACAGGCCGAGGAGCAGAAGGCTAAGGGTCGAGAGGGTGATGCTCAAGCTCAGGATAGCGAAGTCTACGCAGCGTTGAACGACGACGACGACGATGACCAGGAAATTACCCATGCTTTCGAAATCTCGGACGATGCGGTGGAGACGGTACAGAAGCGATGTCTTGAACTGGAATACCCGGTGCTGGAGGAATACGACTTCCGCAGAGACGAAGCCAACCCGAATCTGGAGATTGACTTGAGACCTGGCACGCTGATTCGACCGTACCAAGAAAAGAGTCTGTCCAAGATGTTTGGAAACGGCCGAGCAAAGAGTGGTTTGATCGTCCTTCCCTGCGGTGCTGGAAAAACGCTTGTCGGAATCACGGCAGCTTGCACTGTGAAGAAGGGTGTCATTGTCCTCTGCACTAGCTCCATGTCGGTTGTGCAATGGCGAAACGAGTTCCTCAAGTGGTCAAATATCAAGCCGGAGGATATTCAAGCCTTTACATCCGACAACAAGGGCGCGATTTTCCCTGGTAACACGGGTATCATCGTTACTACTTACTCCATGGTGACGCAAACTAGAGAGAGGTCTCACGAGGCGAAGAAGATGATGGATTTCCTTCAGACCCGAGAATGGGGTCTAATGCTTCTCGACGAGGTTCACGTTGTGCCTGCTAATATCTTCCGCAAGGTCACGTCGTCTATCAAGACGCATTCCAAACTAGGACTTACTGCCACACTTCTTCGTGAGGATGACAAGATTTCGGATTTGAACTTCCTCATCGGACCCAAGCTGTACGAGGCCAACTGGATGGAGCTGTCCGAACAGGGACACATTGCCAAAGTGCAGTGCGCTGAAGTTTGGTGCCCAATGACCGCGGAATTCTACGACGAGTACCTCAAGGCCTCGGCGCGCAAGAGAGCGTTGCTTTACATCATGAATCCTCGCAAGTTTCAGGCTGCTCAGTATCTCATCAACTATCACGAGTCGCGCGGAGACAAGATTATTGTCTTCTCGGACAACGTCTACGCATTGAAGATGTATGCCGAGAAGCTCCAGAAGGTGTACATCTACGGAGGTACAGGTCAGGCCGAGCGCATGAATATTCTTCAGAACTTCCAGCACAACCCGCAAGTTAACACTCTTTTCCTTTCAAAAATTGGAGACACGTCCCTCGACTTGCCCGAGGCCACTTGCCTCATCCAGATCTCGTCGCACTACGGTTCCCGTCGTCAAGAGGCGCAGCGTCTCGGCCGTATTCTCCGAGCCAAGAAGAGAAACGAGGAGGGCTTCAACGCCTTCTTCTACTCCCTCGTCTCTAAGGACACACAGGAGATGTATTATTCCTCCAAGAGACAGGCTTTCCTCGTCGACCAGGGCTACGCTTTCAAGGTGATCACACAACTCGCCAACATTGAGAAGACACCTGGCCTCGCATATGCGGCTGCGAGTGAGAGACGCGAACTGTTGCAGAAGGTGCTGATCGAGAACGAGGCCGGCGGCGAGGACGAAGTTATCGATGACTTGTTCCATAGCGGCAACATGGGTCGTGCCCCGGCCAGAGGCAAGAAGAAGGCGGCGGCGCGGAGGACAGCAGGTCTGTTGGGAGATCTCTCTGGTGGCCAGGACATGGCGTATATGGAGCAGAACAAGAGGGTCAAGCTCAAGAAGGCCAAGGCCGAGAGCAGCACCTTCTTCAAGAAGATCCAGAGGGAGAAAGCTAAGCGCTAAAATGTATAATGAACACGGTCGAGGCGTTTTGGGGGGGTTACGGGATCACGCGACAGAGCGCGGTTTGCTCGGTGTACTACTATAGAGAAGACTATATAAACGTTCTTCAACAAGAATGCAGTCACATTCATTGCCTTCGTTTGCAAGGCGGCTCTGCATCGGTAGCTAGACTACCAAGATTGGAAATATTACTCTGCCCAGGAGGTTGGACGTTTGTCACTCTGTGACCTTTTCTCCTTGCTTGTTTTTGGATGAACAACCTGCGTGGCCGATCATGGGTGACTGCGTCGTCCGGTGAGATTTGCTTCTGTACGAACGGCTGTATTGAGCACTTCATAACAAACTCCCGAGACTCGCCACGAGCAGAAGAACCATTTGGGTTGGGTAAAAGCATTCATCCACCTTGTCAACCCTTGATTGTATTTGTCTGAGATAGGGGCCTGCAGATGCCGTGCTTCGGTGATTGAGGCATGGTCTAGACACAGCTTCATTGCAATTCCGATATCAAGGCTTTCCGAGTCAAGTTGCTTCTTTCATTTGCCAGCCGCCGGCATTGAGCTCGTGTTGCTAGGTTACTCGGTCTGTCCACTCAGACCGGTGTCCATGTTCACCGTCACTTGTTCGGGTATCCCGCACGGAAGGAAGGGTAGTAAGAAAAAAAATAGGGGGTCGAAAGGGAAGTGTTCTCCGGTCCCTGTCGGTCGGTCAAGGGCTCTATGCGTAGGGTTGGAAACAGAAGCTTCCGCTAGAGGATCGACAAGCTTCCGTGGGCGGATGGCCGGGTACTATCGGTCGGCTGCAGAGATTGGCATTGCAAATCCGATGGGCGTTTCTTATTTTGTCGTGTCAAGAAGACCCATGTTGCCAATGGAAAAACGTGATCGTTTGGGGAAAATCAGTTGGAGGTGACAAACAGCAGCCGGTTGCGGATGTTTGGAACCGACCGCACTGAGATCGCCAAGGACGCTCACCCCTATCTGGTGTTTACGAAGCGAACAGGGGCTTGATAGGGTCCTCATCAAGGGATGGATTGCGCCATGGCACAAAACTCGTTGCCCTGTTCAACGTCCCTGGAGAATTAGTCGGTCTGCAACTGTGCAAACGTACCAGTCGGCAGACATTCTTCTTCACGTGGGCCATCTGACGAATAATTCGAAGGCACATGAAGGGATGGTCTTGGCGAGTGATACGGGTTGAATCGGTGTAAACAGCCGATGATCGCTCCAATACCACAGGCTCGCCATATCTGGACGGCGTATCTCAACGGCGTGGGCGTTTAAGGGTGTCGGGTGTCTTGGCAGTCCAGGTTTGGAGATGACGGTCTTGTGCCGCCATCTCACAACTCGCGTGCATTGCTTCTCGCTAGGGCTTGGTCAAGTAGGCCCGCGTCGCATCGGTTGAGGAGCTGGCCATCTGAAATTTTAGCGGTGAAGGCGGGTGAGCAGAATCTCAAGGAAATCAGCTGGTGAACAAGTTGTATCCAAGTGGTGAGACTGAGAAGTGACAAGGGTGTCGTATGCGGTTACTTGGCGTCGTCTCTCAGATCTCACCTCGGTGGGCGGCTGTCTCGCTGCTTGTCTATCAGTGCCTGTGTTCTAGACCCAAGACCCGACCGGCAGGGCGGGCGGGCGGAACGAGCGACCGGCAGTCCGGTTGAGCAGGGTTGGAATTGTGGTCGATGAGGCAGAAAGCAGCATCTTGGGGGCCGACAACGTGGACTTTCCGTGATTTCGCATTGACTTTGACTGCGTTCGGCCCAGATAGATATCAGGGTTGTTTTGTCAGGTATCTGTAGCTAGGTAGCTTAGTTTTGTCCTCCCCTCGAAGGCGAGTCGAAGGCAAACAGCTAGTTGAGCCAGCGAAGCTTCGAACCAGAGAAGACCAGAGTGTGACAGAACTAGAGAGTGTTAGTGAGAGTGCTCAGTAAATGCGGCTGACAGATGTGCGATGCGGTGCCAGGTTGCATTTGTTTCCAGGTTGTGATTGAGCTTGTGCAGTGCCTCATGTAAGCCTCGCTGTAAGAGATATGTTGCGCCTGAAAAAGACTCAATGGGCTTCAGGATATCTGGGGATACCGATAGGTTTCATAGGCGGCGTGGCTTGCAGGTGGTACTTGCTGGCTTCGGCTAATCAAGGTACCTTACGCCGTCGGAGTGCTGGCTGCAGCGTCTCTTCTGCTTTTGGGCGATGGGGGTTGCGTCGGCTTGGCTGGGATGGCCGGTATGGCGTGGCGGCCATGCTGTTTCAATATGGTGGTCAAGAGGGCATTGTGTTGCGCCGGTGTTGCAACCACGCGAGAGTCATGGTGAAGGCGTCCGGGATCCGAACGGGTTTCTTGCTGCTGAGGAGATGCGAGCATGCTGGAGGCTTGGTTGCGATTTGGGCGAGTTTACTCCCGGAAACTGCGGCGCCGTTGTAAATAAACAGACGCATACGACATCTTCAGGGCCGATCTGCAAAGCATGAATGGCGCCTCCAAGAAAGATGGAAACTGAAGATGCGTCTCGGGATACCGTGGGAAGCATGGATATGCGCGCGGGGTGGTGGGATGGGGCAGCATCGACGAAGGAACCGGCTAGTGAAGGAGGGGATATGCATGCGTTCACATGCCACCACCCACCACAGCGCACCTCCTTCGAGAGATTGTCCAAGAGATCCCTCGAGAAGGAGGGTGAGATGTGCTGGCACAAAATGACGTATTCCGTAGCGTCCTGCCCCTGTTACCCTGTCGCGTCGCAGCTGCAGTCTGCTGGACTCTTGCTCCTTTGGGCGACTGCAGCAGCTCTGCGGTGTTCTGCTTGGGCGAGAGGCTGCGACCCACACCTTCAAATAAAGTTGCTTGGCACTGTGGCACTCCGCCGGCTGCTTGGTCGGGGGAACTAATAGGAGATTTGGGGGTAACTAGCAATGGCGGGTGTCTTGCAATGGCACGCCGCGAAACACATCTCACGAGTTGCATCTCATCTCACCTAGAGTACCGGGTGGGAGGGTAAGCTAAGACGGCTAGGTGCTACCTTACTTTATGGTGAACAGTCCGTCGCAGACGGCAGGAACCCCTCGTCGCGGGAAGGGATTTCCATGCTCTCCTGCAGTGTGTGATGTGCAGAGATGAAGATAGCAACACATGAATGATGTGCGCAGATGATTGGCGATCACTCCGACTCGGCCGCGGTTACGGCGAGGGCGGCCTTGAATAGGCGGATGTAAGGTCAGGTCCCGCAGACTTCCCATCCGTGCCGGGCACTTACGTGGTATTGCTCTGTAAGGCGAGGAACCTGAGGTGATCCAATGGTGTGATTGTGTATCCGTAAGGTACTGACTGACTGATCGAGTGCCAGACGGGTGCCGTTCGATACGAAGAGATGCATGCCCACTATTTGTTCTTGCTTCCCTCTCAAGAACACTGAACACTGTGAAATTCGATTGTCAGGGCCCACAGCCAGCGGCTTTCCGAGCTCTGGAACGGATGATGGAAGCCACTTGCCACTGGGAAGCTGGGGAAAGCACTCCGGTTTTCCGGCGATGGACTTTCGTCCCTTGCCAGATGCAATTCCTCGACTGCTTCCAGCCCAGGGAACAATTTTTCTGTTCCATCATGAGTGGATCCTACCAGTTGCTGCCAGACAAAGCTTAGCTCGCCCCATATTGCTGTTACCCCCAGGCACAATTCCAGCGTTTCCATGTTGCCATCAAACCCCAATGACGGCCCTGTCAAGGGCATGGATGGCAGGAGATGTGGACCTGGGACATGCCGCAGCAGCTGCTGTTGATGGTGAGTTTGGGCGCGCCGTGGTCTGGTCACCACTCCACTAGAGGCTGTCCGCAACGCCCGCAGTCCGCTGCACCATCCAACGGGCCTGCGTCTTGCTCCAGTGTCCCTTTCTAATTAAAAACAAGAAAAAAAGGTGAGAGAAAAAAAAATGGGAACGGACGCCTCCGGGTTGTTGACCCCCGTCACACAATAAAGATCCCAAACACGGCCTTCCTTCTTTCTTCCCAGACTGCTGGTGCTGTTGTCCGCTACTTTGCTCTTTTTTCCTTCGAGGAGCCAAGAGCCAAGAGCCTCGGGCATTGGCATTGGCATCGACGCCGGCAGTCAGCAGCAGCAACAGCAGCCAGTTGCGAGTAGCACTGGGCAGTGGCATCCAATCTGTGTCTTGGACGATTGTCTGCAATCGGCAATCTCGCAGTGCAGCAGCAGCGCCTGCTTGTGCAGCAGCACCTCACCCATCGGATGCCTCTTCAGTGCGCCCACTCGCCTTCTGAACTCTGAACTCATCCGATCGAACCTACCTCACCTACCTCACCTACCTTGTCTACCTACCTTTACCTCGACTCTTCTTTTCCATCCCGACTTTTTACCCTGCCATACCTACCTCCTACTTTATATACACGGACTCCGCCTGATGTCACGCTTACCACGACCGGCTGCCACTACCCCATCTCAATCGCCGCGCACCAAATCGATCATAATGAATTCCAGCTCAGCCGTCATCCAATCCTTATAACAAGGACGGTTAGACTGAAGCATCACAGCCACAAGCGCCAAGACCTGGCCCATTCGCCAGCACCCACGCCCACGCCCACTACCAGCACTACCATACTCATACAAGTCCCCCAGCTGATGTCTCGACCGGCTTGCTTCTAGACCAGCTCGTTTTCTCCCTCCTCCCATTACACACTCCGCGAATCCTCGAGATCATCGTCGCGACTCGAGAGAAATGCTCCACGACGCGCGTGGCTGGCTGCTCGCCCAGCTCCGGGCAGCCAAGCCTTCCTTCATATCCAAGAAGCCCCATTTCAACTTCATCTCGGCTCACTGTAAGTCGCCGTCCCAACTACCGTCGCATTTCCCATCGCCGTCTGCGCACTGCGCTAATTGCTCCGCGCTTTCATTTTAGACTTCTGGATCTGTGGCCTCACCATCCTCGGCTCTATTCTGATTTACGCCACTGCCGGCGGCCAGATGGCATACGTTGACGCTCTGTTCTTTGCCAGCGGAGCCAACACACAAGCCGGCCTCAACACCATCGATGTAAATCTGCTGAACACTTTCCAGCAAATATGTCTCTACGTCTTTGCCATGACCTCCAACCCCATCACCATCCATTCCTCCGTCGTCTTCCTCCGACTCTACTGGTTCGAGAAGCGATTCCAGACCGTTGTCCGCGAGGCTCGCCAGCGGCGAAACACCATATCCAAATCCATGTCCAGAGCCAGGGGAGATGACTTGAACCAGGCAGAGAGAGGCCGCGGCCTGAGTGTACGGAACATCCAGGTCATCCATAGGAGGAGGGGTCGGATGACCAACGACGGCATCGTGTACGATATGAAGGACGACGAGGACGGTCGCATTTCGCCTGGCAGCAACGGCTTCGTTCCAATTCCCGGAACCCCAGCCCATCGTTCTTCGGGCGAGCAGACTCCCAATACTGCCCCGGGGTCCCAAGATGACGCCAACGACGTCGATGCATCGCAAAACCGAATCACCTTCGCCCGAAATGTTTTCCGAAGTGATGGAACCGAGCCGGAAGTCAAGCTCCCGCCGCCATCTTCTCCTGCGCACTTGGCCATCCTTGAGCGGCAACGCAACGATCAAAATGGGGAGACCCTGCGAATTCCCAACCCTAGAGACGTTGAGAAGGGGATAGAGCCCAAGCGTGTTGAACACGGCGATGCTCCAGAGCCGGAGGACGACAGAGATCATAGCCACGATCATTCCGCTGCCAGCGGGGCGAACGGGATGGCCAACGATGTCGGCAATGTTGGCCGACGACAGACGATCAAGATCGAAGAGCCGGAGCGGCCTCGAGACCACCACGAGCCCCCTGTCAAGGATGAGCTTGCAGATGAAGCCGAGGCTATCGGCAGAGCCATTTTCCCCTTCACGTTCCGCAGGCATCGCAAGAAGCAACCGCAGGATGATGCCACATCGGAAAACGCTTTGACGAGAGTTCGGAGCCGCGTCGATACGTTCCGGTCAGCCCTGTCACGCGACAAGCAAGACGACATGCCCTACCTCAGTTTCACGCCTACTTTGGGTAGAAACTCTGCCTTCCCTGGCCTGACACAGGACCAGCGTGAGGAACTAGGAGGAATCGAGTACCGGTCGTTGAGGACGCTTGCCGTCATTCTACTCTGTTACTTTTGGGGCTTCTCGCTTTTTGCGATCGCATGCTTCCTTCCATGGGTTCACACTAGCTCAAACGACAAATACGGGAACTACATCGAATCCAACGGCGTCAGCAAAGCCTGGTGGGCCATCTGGACCGCGAACTCGGCTCTCAACGACCTGGGTCTCACCCTGACCCCCGACAGCATGAACTCTTTCAACGACGTGCCTTTCATTCTGTTGATCATGTCGTTCCTCATCATAATAGGCAACACTGGCTTCCCTGTGATGCTCCGGTTTGTTATCTGGGTCCTGTCAAAAGTTGTTCCTAAGGGAGGTCTCCATCAGGAGCTCAGATTCTTGTTGGACCACCCCCGTCGCTGCTTTACCCTGCTATTTCCAGCAGGTGCAACATGGTGGCTGTTGACTATTCTCATCGGTCTCAATGTCCTCGATTTGTTGTTCTTCGTTCTTCTCGATGTAGGTGCTTAATTTCACTCACATAGCAAACAACGCTGACTTCTAGTTTAGCTCAACGACAACGCCGTCAGCCATCTGCCAGTTGGCCTCCGCATCGTCGACGGCCTGTTCCAGGCGGCATCGACCAGAACCGCAGGTTTCTCTGTGGTCAACATTTCACTTCTGCACCCTGCTGTCCAGGTTTCGTACATGATCATGATGTACATTTCAGTCTTCCCCATCGCCATCTCCATTCGTCGCACCAATGTTTACGAGGAGAAATCACTCGGCGTATACCATCACCCCGACGAAGACGTCGACACTGCGAATGAGAATAGCGCCATGTCTTACGTGGGAACCCATTTGCGTCGACAACTTTCCTTCGATTTGTGGTACGTGTTCTTGGGGCTCTTCATCTTGGCCATCACCGAAGGACCTCGCATTCAGAAGAAGGACTTCGATGTCTTTTCCGTGCTGTTCGAGATAGTGAGTGCCTACGGTACCGTTGGACTGAGTCTCGGCTATCCCAACGTCAACGCATCTCTCTGCTCGCAGTTCACCACCGGAGGCAAGCTTATCATTATTGCCATGCAAATCCGTGGAAGACACCGTGGTTTGCCTTACGGCCTTGATCGCGCTGTGCTCCTTCCGAGCGAGTCGCGCTTTGAAAAGGAGGCTGAAGAGGCGCCATTGCCAGTACTAGTACGATCTGCTACTGGCGCATCAACAGGAACAGCCGTGAGCGCCAGTCGATCTCATCTAAGATCGAGAAGGCAGAGCACTAATCGCGGAAACATCAACATCTTGACCCAATTCCTACACCCTGGTCCTCCCATGGTCCCGCACGAAGACAGTTTTACGTCCCGACGCAGCAGGTCTTTCGAGGTTGGCGACCACCATCTGCCAATAGCAGAGGAGATGAGGAGGCGTGCCACAGAGCCAGCTGAGGACGATAGCACGTCTACCGACTCTGAGGTTATGAACACGACTCGAAGAGTCAACACTACACCAGCGCGCTAGACGCTGCAGCAATTGATCGGCCCGAAACCATCAACACCTAAGGAGTAAAACAATGAGCAAGCCTTTTACGGAGTTATACACGATATCGGCACGTGTGCGGAGTTACTGGTTCGAAAATACATATTTGGTGCGGCAGTCATTCTTTTCCGAAGACAGGACGGACTAGACAAGCTCAAGCTACGGACATACCTTGTGAATTGGCGTTGGGAAATTCCTGTACATTCTTAGGATTCTGTACAATTATGATGACTGATGATCGAGAGTTTCATTTTTCATGTCTGCGTTTCTCCCTTATCTAGTGATATGTGTCTTCTGTCGGCCTGTGGTCAAGGTTTGTGCCTAAGTAGACCCAGCTAAATCTTTGAGACCTCCATTCAAGCTCCTCACTCATGATTATTCTGATGCTTCATCTCTAGAAAGCCCCACTACAACACACCCCATTCTTCCTTGTTCTGCAGATTTAGTAAAACCTTTCTTCAATTCTCAAGCTTTGTGGCACATGCCTGCATCAGCAATGCGTCCCTAACCCAACCTCTGCTCTTCTCAATCTTAGACCCCTTTCCATTTCCTTATTGTTCTCATGGTATACACCTTGATTCGTAATCCATTGATTGTAAGAGATCTTTTGTGTTCATGTACAAGGCTCTTGGGTCCGTGTTGTACAACCCACCAGGTTTCTAATCGTACATCACCCTTCGAGGCCATAACGGCCAAGATAATGTCAAAGCCTCCCCCACCACGCATCATCTGCAACCGGGACCTCTCAAAATCATCACTTCTGCTCCTTCTCGAACCTCGAACCAACCTGTCCCTTCGCCCTCGCACGCATGCCGTACCTCTCCTTCTTCCAAGCATAGACGAGGTGGTCGACGTTGCCCATGTCATGCTTCGGCTTGCGCATGTACGTGAGACGAGCACGCCTCGCGCGCTTGGGCCTACGCCAGACAATATCGATACCGATGACGGTGGGCGAGTAGATCTTGTACCACATCTCGACGCCGACCTTCATCAACTGCGAGCGCACGAGGATGGCCGTGTCGACGCCGCGGCGGCGGATGCTGATGCACACGCCGGAGAAGGGCTCGCCGGATTTGGTGGTGACCATGAGGACGTCGCCGACCTTGGCGGCGTCGGGCCGGGTGATGTCGAAGAGGCGGGTTCGGGCGCCGGTCGGGTCGAGGGTCGCGCGCTGCTTGGCGTCGAGCTCGGGCATGGGGTTCTTGTGAGTGGAGCGGATGGTTTCGACTTGCGGCCAGACGAAGAACAAGGGCTTGCCTTCGGGTCGGACTGGGTGATGTCTTAGCAAATCCGTCTTTGTGAGTGTATCGTGAGAAAATGCTTACATCTTGCCGGCTTGGGGAGTTTGAAGGGTGGTTGAGCCCGAGCAGAGCCTTTTGGTGGTGCTTTAGGCTTCTCGACGGCGGTGGCCATGGTCCGGGTGAGCAGTCTCTGGTGGCGCGTCTGACGGAGCGCTGTCTTCAGACAGCCAACAGGTCGTCTGAGTAGACAGTTTGCGTTCATTTTGAGGTGTAGTGGGCGATTTGGACCCGAAAGGCGTTGCCGTCGACCGAGGCGCAGGGTAGCTTCGTAGGAGAGAATCCAAAAAGTCGATGTTCGGAGTGCCAATTGCGGGCTGTGATTGGCTCGGTGCATCAATGATGCGGAGCCGGGCGCGATCCCTGCACCGTTCTTGCATCTCCAAATTTTTGGAGGGGACCCTGCACTACCCGGAGCTCCCCCGTCGGATGTCTCGATAGTCTCGACATCAACCCACGCCACATACGGAGATCATGTCCAGGAGTTTAGTTGGAAGGGCCCTGAGGGCAAAGCCGTCGGTATGGGAGCAACCGGCGGGCTGCATCGCGCAGCAGCAACGGAGCTTCAGCCAAACACCATCCCACCAAAGTACGTTCCGTGATCAACGTTTATACCGAAGAAGCTAACCAGATGGTGGTAGATAATAACCAAGTCATCTTTGACAAGACCTCAAACCCTGGCCTCGCTCCGATCCTCGAAGAGATCCAGTCCAACATCATCCTCCCCTTCCACCTCCCCATCCACCAGCGCCAGCGTGTGTTCTCCCCGAAGATGAAGAACTCCCTCCGCACCGACCCCGTCTACGTCGAGGTCGACGGCCACGAGCACAAGTTCACCCACATCGACCAGGACGCCCTGCCGCCCTCACGCGAGATCACCTGGAAGGCTCTGCGTGAAATGCAGACCGCCGAGGACTGGAACAACTTTGGCCGCCTGCTAGCGGGCATGCGCATCGCGGGGCGCCGGTACAGCCAGGTCGACTTCGCCAAGATGGTCCGCCTGGCGGGCTCCAAGGGGCAGATCTTCACCATCATCGAGGCGGCGCGGCAGGTGCGCAAGACCGGCTTCAAGCTGGACACGTCGGAGAAGGTCAACGAGACGCTACACTACGTGCAGATGCGCGCGGCCCAGAGCGGGTGGGACAAGGAGTTGACGGAGCAGAGCCTGCGGTGGGCGGAGATGGTGATTGAGATGATCGAGGACGACAAGCACAAGCTCAAGCACGACCCGACGGTCAAGCGCGGGCAGCAGGTTCGCTGGCCGCTGCACAAGGACCCCCAGGTTCTGGGCGCGGCGCTGCACCTGGCTGCCGTGCTGGCTGTGAAGCACAACGAGGGTAAGGACGTCGACGGCAAGGTTACGCGGTACGCGAAACAGGTTGTGGAGAGGTGGCCCGCGGACAAGGGCTTGAAGAAGTTGCACCCGAGGGAGGCCTACAAGAACTACCAGACCGGTGTCGCGTACCTGGCCTCGAGCAGGACGCAGTACTTGGCCACCGCCAGCCCTGTCCTGCACGGTCTGTTCCTCGCTGCCCGCGTGGTGGATCAGCCTACGGCGGAGAAATTGCAGGCAATCGCTGCGACGCTCGGCGCCGAGGTGAAGCAGGCGGTCGACGGCGACAGCACTCCTGCCGAGCGCGGCTTGTCAACCTACAACACCCTCTTTGAGTCCAAGGCGTAGGGGACAATCGGGACGTATGAAGGGAGGGCATGACTAATGCGAGAAAAATGGAGGCGGAGGATGGCATAAAGAAAAGAATCAGACGACGCTCCAGGAGGCAGGCGGGGGCTATGTACAGCTGATATGTAAGATTATCTATGTATACAAGCATCAAAGGCACACACCCAAAAGAGACGGCCGACTACGGCAAGACAATGTACTTTTCCAGATGCTTCGGTATCGCGCCCAGGAGCTTCTTCTCGCCCAGCCACTTGCGCGAGAACAACCTCTCGGCGTAGCGGTATGCGCCGTCGCAGAGGATTGTGACGACGGTGTGTCCCTTGCCGAGCTTCTCAGCAACCTCCTTGGCGGCCACGACGTTGAGTGCCGAGCTGGCGCCCAGGTACAGACCCTCCTCGTCGAGGCAGCGGTACACCATCTCGATGCTCTTCTCGTCGGCGATAGTCAAGGAGCCGTCGACGAGCCCGATATCGGCCGCCAGGTTGTCCGTGATGCGGCCCTGGCCGATGCCCTCGGTGATGCTGGACCCCGTGCGCTCCACCAGCTTGCCCCCGGAGCTCACGTACGAGTGCAGCACGCTGCCGGGCGGGTCGGCGAGGAAGGACTTGACGCGGCCGCCGCTCTTGTCCTTGAGGAAGCGCGTGATGCCCGCGAGCGTTCCGGCGGTGCCCGTGGCGCACGTGAAGGCGTCGACCTTGCCCTGCGTCTGCTCCCAGATCTCGGGGCCCGTGGTCTCGATGTGCGCGCGGCGGTTGGCCGTGTTGTCGAACTGGTTCGTCCAGACGGCGTTGTCGAGGCGCTCGGCGTGGCGGCGGGCCTGGTGGTTGTAGTTCTCGGGGTTCTCGAAGGCGACGGCCGGCACGGGGTAGACCTCGGCGCCGAGCAGCCTCAGCAGGTCGATCTTGCCCTGGGACTGGGTGTTGGGCATGTAGATGACGAGCTTGTAGCCCTTGGAGCGGCAGACGTGCGCGAGGCCGATGCCGGTGTTGCCCGCTGTGCCCTCGACGACGGTGCCGCCCGGCTTGAGGAGGCCGCGCTCCTCGGCGTCCTTGACGACGTAGAGGGCGGCGCGATCCTTGACGGAGCCGCCGGGGTTCATGAACTCGGCCTTGCCGAGGACTTCGCAGCCGGTTTCGGCGGAGAGCTTGTTGAGGCGGATGAGGGGGGTGTTGCCGATGGCTGGAGGGGAAGCCGCGTGGTCAGCGTGCTGTCAATCGAGGAGGAGAGGAGGAAGGGAGTGAGGACGTACCGCCGGTGAGGCCCTTGACGACGCCCTGCGCCTTGGAGAGGTTGAGGGAGTAGGCGCTGGGAGGGTCAATGGCGCGGGCGGCCGTCGTCGCGAAGCGACGGACACCGAGACGGTTCATGGTGTCTGTATCTCGAAGAGACGATCACTCCAAGATTCAGAATCACAGCCCGGGGAACAGCTGTGTAGTGCGGTAGGTCGACTTGCGACTTGGGTAGTTGGCGGTTTCTGGGGGTGTTGAAGAACCTCCGGCATTCGGCTTTCTAAGCTGAGTGACAAGGGGTGGTCCCTCCCGTGGTGGGGTTCAATTGGGTTCTGCGTGCTGCTAAAAAAAAATCACGTCAGAGCTTGAGGCGGCGGTGGTGGGGTTGCTGAAGAACGGCGCGGGGCCGCGGGACGGCAGTCGGGGGAGCCGGCCGATCATCCCGTACCGACGAGACCGGTCCGGATTTAGGTGAAATAGATGCTTAAATTTGTGTTGCGCGCCTCGGGATACATTTTGCAAATTTCATTGAACAAGGCCGGTTCGGAAATAATGTTGAACACGGCACGATTAACAGCCAATGCGTACGACGTGCATTTTTGACGTGGACTAAAAGTCCCTTTTCAATGCTAACAGCGAACGCACACTGCTTGATTCAGGACTTCTGGGAGCATTTCTATTTCCTCACAGAAACTTGTGCTGGCCCTGACGCTTTAAGATAGAGACACTCCCTGTTCTCAGTCACGACCGCACCGGGCGAATTGCGACGGTTAAGTTCAATTAGCTTGTAGATATTTTGTTACTACCATGCAAACGCAAACTCTTTTTCAATAATTGGATTGCCTTGTCTCATTGGTGTGGTGCCTGACATATCTGTCAAATTGCATTTTTACTGTTTTTTTTTGTACCCATCCAAATGATCGTTGTCGTCGTTATACTTATGAGACTTTTGGAATAAGCAGCCCCTAGGACAACGATAGCGCTACGAAGATGCTAAGGCTCAGACACAGAGCATTCTTTCATACCAGGGCCACTAGTTCATTCCCTAGCGTTTCTGCAATATTTCCCTAGTCAAGCCATACAATATAGATCGATTTGGGTGTGGGTAACCAAATGGATATCCATGGATATGGGTACCCATAGTACGGATACCCATGGATATGGATATGTCTCTGGTATAGATTTGGTTTGCGCATGGGCATGGTTATGGTGTCGATTGGATATCCGGGAGATATCCATATGGGTATCCATGGGATCTGGATACCCATGGGTATAGATACGATCTGGATATCTGTGGGCGTGGGTGTGGATATGGATATGGACACACATTGGATATCCATGGGTACAGGTAAGGGTGTAGTCTGGGTATAGCGACGATTTGAATATCAGTGGGTATGGATTCCGTGGGTATGGATTCTATGGGTACGGACATTGTTTAGACATCCGCAAAGACAACCACATGGGTACTGGATGATGGTTATGGGTACCCACGGGGACGGATACATTCTAGATGTGGATGTGGTTTAGATGTGGGAATGTTTTGGATACCCATGGGTATGATTTGGGTATGGGTATGGATTGGATATCTGTGGGTATGATCTGGGTATGGGTATAGGTATGATTTGGTCTGGATATCCGTGTTGTATGGGTTGTATGAATATGGATACATATTGAATACCCGTTGGATACCCATGGGTAGGGACAAAGTTTGAGAATGGATACCCATCTGGATATTAATGGATAATGGGTAATGGGTAGTGGGTAATGCTATGGATCATGAGATTGTTGCTGCAGCACATCTAATATACGGCGTTCCTGAGGAGTCCTCTATACTAGACAGGTTAGAGAGTCACTTGACCAACACACAAAGTCACTGCTGACTGACTTAGCAGCGACCATCTGTCTCTCTGAAGTTGGCTGACCAGAAGCATCAATTCTCGTCATCTCCCGTTAAGGGAGTACTTAGACGTAAGGACGTAGCGGTCGAATGCATACTTTAGTATTCTTGACTTCCTTCCCTATTTCGCATGTCCTCCTCCATTTTGGACTTCTCTAGGTTATTCAGCTGCCTCATTTAAACTTCTGAGCTAAGTTTTGTTCATATTGATAGATTGGATATCCATTTCACCTATATAGAGAAAATGGTGGCGTCCACAGGACATGTGCCACTTTTGATGCTCCCGGCCGTCTCATTCATCACGGCGCCTCACCTCATTATATAATCATTCTCTTGCTTTCACCAACCGCCGCAGTCTTCTCAGTGCTGCTCCAAGTTTCTCACATACGGCGAAGGGAAGAGCCCCTTGGCGCCCATGTAGACCCCAAAGAACCAGTCCCCATTAACATCCTCAATCTCCCTAATCTCAGCACCCTTGGGAAACATTAGCTCATCCTCAGCCTTGGGGAACCAAGCCCACGCCGCGTTGGCCCGCATCCCCGTACCCCCGTCCGGCGGGAACCCCAGTGCCAGGCCCTCGCTCGTCGGGGCATCCTCCGCCACATCTGTCGTGACGAAGCGCTCGCGTCGCTGCGAGCCCTCGGTCCACCACCACTTGTGGTGCGCTGGGTCGTCGCCCGGGGCTTGTTCCATTCGCAGCCCGCGGCCTCCTACGAGGTCGGCGAGGACGTGCCGATATTGCCCGCCGGGTCCGTCGTGGAAGCCGACGACGACCATGCGGTGCCCGTTGAGGCAGCGGCGCCAACCGGCGTGGCCGTTTTCGGGGCTGACTTGGCCGCGGGCTTCGAGGTTGGCGTAGCAATTGGTGCATATGTCGTAGTCGCCTGGGTAGGTGTCTGGCTCGATGGAGCTGGTGCAGGTGAAGCAGTGGTACCGGCTGTGGCTAGGCACGATGGGGTCCTGGCATACGTCGCAGCGTGTTGTGAAGGTAAGAGGCTTGAAGGGGCCGATATTATGGATGTTTGGCCCCGTCAGGACAGCCGAAGAATGAGGCGGTTTTGGCGATCTCGGGCTCGCAGGCGGCGTGTGGGATTGCTGGGGCTGATATGTCAATGGCAGAAGGGGGTGAGTGCAGGATCGTCCCTGGTTCACGCAGTTATTGCAGAAACCCCAGTCACCCAGATTGCACGAATCGCAACGCCAGAAGCACTCATTCGCCCATGACAGGCAGTTTGCACAGAAGTTGCCGCTCTCTAGGCGCTTGATCGGGTCCTCAGTCGTAAGCGTCCTCCTACCCTCCGCTCCGCCAGGGATGATCTTGGGTTGGAGATATCGGTTTGCCGTTAGCATGTGAGGCCTGGGTAGATCCTCACGACCGGCCTGGCGAGCCTTCTCCCACTTCGCCCACGCGCCGTATCCGAAGCCGAACCAATGCAAGCAGCCCTTGCCCGAACGGTAGCATTCGAGACAGATATTCCAGTTGCCACTGGCACAGATGCCGCAGTTGTAGTGGAGGTCGTACTCAATGTGCTGTTTGGCACACCGGGAACATGCGATGGACGGCTCGGGGTAAAGCTGCGAGCGTGTGCGTTGGTGTCCTGGTGAGTTTGGGCTGCCGATGCCCAGGCCGACTGGACTGGAGAGGGTCTGGCTGATGATGGACAGATCTGCCGGACGGTTTGGCCGCTGGATGCGAGGTGATAACGGCTCTATGGGCGGGGAGGGGGCAAAGTTGGCAGATACCAGCGCAGAGGTTGGTGCTCGGCCGGCGAAAGAAAGATCGCGGGACGTGGGGGAATCACTAGGGGGCTGCGTCGTCGGCACAGAGGGAGTGCTGGAGCTTCTAGCTTCGCCAAAGACTGTCCTCGGCGCCGATGCATCGCCAAACTGTGTACGGGTTGTGGTGGAAAGGTCCGTCTGTGAACGTGTAGCCACGCGGACTTCAGACTGCGAAGCTGGAACCGGCGTGGTCGCACTACGGCCGCCGCTAGAGGTTCGACGTCTCCTTCGCCTCTCCTCTGGGCGGATTTCGAGGTGCATCGCACTTTGCGAGAGCGGGGGTCGGCTGCGATCATCGGGGACGCCTGTGGCACTCGTCGATCTCGAGTGTGGTCGCTGCCTGCTTGATGGCCTGCTGCTGTCTGATGCAGTTGCCCTAATTTCCTGAACACGGTCAGGAGAGTGTCTCGACTGCCCATCGGTATCTCTCCTCCTCGTCCTGTCACCTCTGGCCCGCTCCCGCTCCCTCTGTCGGCGCCGGTAGGCCTCCGTGATCTTTCGGCTCAGGTCGTCATTTCGACTGAGGTCAATATTGTCGAGGTCGAGACCATCGAGAAGGCCCTCCTCCTGGATCTGCCTTGCGAACTCTTCAATCTCTCTCTCGATGTCTCGCTCACTCAAGTCTCCGGAGCTGATCAACGACCTCAGCGACGACTGATGCTCAATTTGGCGACGTCGAGATTCCGCCGATGACTCCTCACGTTGCCTTGACTCACTCCTCCGCCTTCTCCTCTGCTCACTTGGCCTTGCGTCGGGCTGCAGCTGGTCTCCATGAGATCGGCCTTCTTCGGTGCGGGGTCGTCTACTGCCCTCGTGTCTGTGACTCTGACGGCTGTCGCGACTAGGATCTCGACTTCTGCGCGTTCTGCCGTCTCCAGAGCTGCTATCCTCCCGGCGTCGTCTGTGTCGCGGAGCCAAGGAGGTTTCCACCCCAGCCTCCCGCAGGCTCAACTCCCGCACACCCTCTATTAACCTCCGCTCTTCCTCTTCCGCCCGCCTCTCGTCCGGCGTTCTTTCTGGACTGCGTATGCGCGGGAGCACCTTGTCCCCCGGCTTGTACTTCTTGACCATTTCCTCGATATCCGCCTCAGATCTCTTTCGGTCGGGGTTTGCCGCAACGAACATGTCGAGGAGGGTTGCGACGGTGGCATTGTGCCTCGTGTCGCGCACTCGCGCGCGGCATGACGGGCAGGTGAAGATGTTGGAACTTGGTGACGGTGGGTTTGGCGAGTTTTCGGCCTGCTGGGCTTGAAAAGAAAACCAGTCCTTTAGACATGCGCCGCAATAGGTGTGCAGGCAGTCGAGAAGAGTCAAGGGCTGGTAGAGGAGCTCGGTGCAGATCTGCAGAGACGAATCGGTCAGCGCAAAAAGAAGCATTTAAAGTGCCCCTCCCACTTTCCACCGCTGTCACTCTCACAGGCTCTTTAGACTCCCGCTCTAGGGCGGCGCTACGGGGCTTTGGATCAGACGACAAGGACGGGCAACTTACAGAGCATGTCAGCTCCTTCTCCAGGTCGAGGGCAGGCTTTGAGGAATCCATGGAGCACCACGAGATCCCAAAAATGCCGGGCACCAAGGCAATGTCTTGGGGAAGACGTGGAACTGCCCAAGATGCGCCTGAGGGGACATGGTTCGTATTAAGACTAGCTGGCGGTCGTTGGCGAGCTGCGGTGGCGGGGCGGGCTTGAAAGGCAAAGGCTAGGCGCGCCGTGCCCGCAGCTGCAAGCACTGGACCACCAAAGGAAAAAAAAAAGCTCGGAAAACCGCCTGTGATGGATAGAAGCCCAACCCCACGTCTGCTGGCCCCGGCTCCCTTATCCCTGCTTACCGCCGTGTCTAAGAGGTAAGCTGAGGTCACTGCAGCCCTTTCACCAGATCTCTCAGACAGGTAACCCCCCTGCAGCTTTACGGGAACACGAACTCAATGGGCTCGAGACTGGTAAACTTCAGGCTCGATTTCGTGTTGCGAAACCATCATACTTTGGCGGGCCTTTCTGTTCATGTGAGCGCTCTCAAAGCAAAAGTATCTTTCGCGATGGGCATCCGTTGCGGCTGTTTCGAAGATGTAAGTCAACGTCGACGATAATTTGGTTGTTTCTCCACGGAGAAGCCTAGAAACAGGACATGCCGCCCTTCCTGTCCGAGGCGGATGACAAGACCATCCGGAGGAGCGAGGCCAAGCACGCTCGGCGACGCGCTGACTGTGCTCGCATTACATATCCCGCTCGAGTACAGCGAACGGATTTCCCCAAGAACCGAACTAGGACGGTTGCACGACATTTTGTCTTCCTCAGATTCATACGCGTCTCTCATACATTGATCATCTCCTGCCCGACTTCTCAAGAGTGCGTCCATTCCGCCTTCTTCTTCTCCGCAAAGGCCTTCATGCCGACCTTTTGGTCATTGCTTCCGAACAAGCTGTGGAACACCCTTCTCTCAAACTCAACGCCATCCCTCAGCGGCAGGTCCTGGCTCTTGTTCACCACCTCCTTGCACGCGTTGATGGCTACTCGGGAGTAGCTGGCAATCGTCTCGGCGGTCTTGAGCGTCTCCTCCATCAAGATCTCATATGAGGGGAAAGCCTTCGCTGCCAGGCCCCACTGAGCGGCATCAGCACCGCTGAACGGCTTGCCGGTCAGGATGAGCTCCATGGCCTTGGACTTTCCAATGGCACGGGTCAGTCGCTGACTGCCTCCAGCACCGGGAATGGTACCAAGCTTGATCTCGGGCTGGCCAAAGTTGGCATTCTCGGTGCAGTAGAGAATGTCGCACATCATGGACAGCTCACAGCCTCCACCGAGCGCGTGGCCTGAGACAGCTGCGATGATGGGCTTCTTGACTTGAGTGGTGAGGAGCGACCAAGATTCAATGAAGGACTTGGTGTACGCCTCCGAGAATGTCAAGGGTGCCATCTCCTTGATGTCGGCTCCTGCAGCGAAGGCCTTTTGCGAGCCCGTGAGGATGATGACGGAAGTGTCATCTGCTTCGTTGAATGCTCTCAGAGCATCATTCAGCTCTTGAATGAGAGGAGTGCATAAAGCGTTCAATGCCTTGGGTCGGTTCAATGTGACTGTTGTGAACCTGTGTAAGCATCACGAACAGGCGAAACGTAGCTGGCTAAGCGGGCACTCACCTTGTCCAACGCCGGGCTTCGGGTTCGAGACCTGGATGTATTCGTACGAACCGCTGGCATAACCACGGGTGAGCCTAGGCAGAGTCGGGGCCTGCAATCGGGAGGCAATCGGCCGCAGGTATCGGAAGGAGTTCATGGTGACGGAGCTTCGGGCGTAGCTTTGATACACAGATGAACCACGAGACCGTCAACTCGTTCGGACGTTTATGCTGGGTAAGACACTGGTCACGCTGATTACTCAGGAAGAGAGTCGGACGGAAGATGTAATCGGAGAAAGGCAGCTTCAATTGGAAAGGATTTAAAGGTGAGGGCCGAGATAAGTGGTGACAGTGATGTAAGAGGTCAAAGTCAAGCTCGAGCTCCCCAAAGCTCTCCCTGGGTACGAGTACTTTGGTTGGTAGGTAGGTAGGTAGAGCTCAGGCTGGAAAGCATCGGCTCTCCGTGCCCCGGGGCCGAGGATACAGTCGGTCGCAATGGGAGCACGGACTGTGCACTGTGACAGGCCCCCCCGCGTCACAGGCTCCATCGTCGCTATCGTCGCTGAGAGCAGCATCCTGGTTAAAGGACCCGTTTCTTCAGATGTGCTCCACCCGTGTTCCAAGCTCCTCCTCCAAGTGTCGTGCTTGGAGGGAGACTGCGCCACAGGGGCTCGTTCTGGGCCTTTCCTGCCATTTTCCAGGGGACCCAATCACTGGAGCGAGTTGCTAAACCACCGGGTAAGATTCGGGCCAAGCTGTTGGGTGCCTCCTGCTTTGCGCAATCACTGGTGCACCTATGCTGTTAGGGAACAAGCCTTACGTGGCTGAACCTACCTGCTATTCCTGAGATCCCGCCAGTCAACCCAAAAATTCGTCCGGACAGATCGCGACTGCGCCAGCTATTTTTCCCCCCGTAGTACCATCCTCCTCGACCTGCACCGCATCTTCTGATCGGCGAACCCTCACGACAACAGGAATAACACATATTCTTCGGATTCAAAGCTGGTCATACCCACGACAAGCTGCCCAAGATGGACACCATGGAGCCGGAACAGACCCCTTTCTCCTCCGTTACTACGCATACCTCCAAGATCCAGAGAGTACGCACGCCCGCCCCGAGCCTCGCGGTTTCCCCAACCAAGTAGCTAACCTTCGCGCAGCAATACCAAGCACTCCTCGATCAGTCAACGCCCTTTGTCCTCTACAGATGGGTCGGTACCGGCGTCTGCCTCCTTGTCTTCTTCGCCCGCGTCTTCGTCGCGCAAGGCTGGTACATTGTCGCATACGCTCTCGGCATCTACCTCCTCAACCTCTTCCTAGCCTTCCTCCAGCCCAAGTTCGATCCTTCCAACGACGCGCTTGACAATGAGATGGAAGACGGAGGCGTCGGTATTCTCCCCACCAAGCAGGACGAGGAGTTCAAGCCTTTTATCCGCCGTCTTCCCGAGTTCAAGTTCTGGTACTGGGCCACCCGCGCCATCCTCATCGCCTTCTTCTGCAGTTGGTGGGAGATCTTCAACGTCCCCGTCTTCTGGCCCGTTCTGGTTATGTACTGGTTCATCCTGTTCTTCCTGACGAGTACGTGTCTCCTCCCTCTCAAAATAACCTTGGCGCAAAGCTGACCAGACCCCTCTCTAGTGCGCAAGCAGATCCAGCACATGATCAAGTACCGCTACGTCCCCTTCACTTTTGGCAAGAAGAACTACGCCGCCAAGAACAACTCGTAGGGGAGGTTTAGTGGGCGCTACCGGTAGAGCAAATGCAGGTGCCACGCTCTTAAATGCGGCGTTGGCAGGTGTAAGTCTAGGCACGCGGAATAGACAGAATGAGAAGGCAGATACGAGGATGCAGAATCATCCATGATGAGCCTGGACAGCAACGACGGTGACGACGGGGGGAATTGTACGTATAGAACTGGCGTCGATATGAGTGCATGCTTGCGACGGCGAACTACGCAGGGCGCACGAGGAAGCGCTCCTCTTCGGTCGGGAGTCATTGCGCCATTGATGAATGATGGACTTGCTTTGGGAATCGTTCATCTCATACACTACGTATTGTAATAAGACAGACACAAAAAGTGTCTATTGCCCTTCATAGTTGTCGCCTATTTCCCACTGCGAGCTGTTTGCTGGGCGTCCATCCGATAAGTCGATAAGGCCTGGTTGGGGTTGGGTCCGGGCGTTGGCGCAATTTGAGGTAGGTGCCCCCAGCTCAGCCTCGTGGAACTTTTCCGGGCCAGATGCACCTTCCTCCCGAACCGTCAACGCGACCGCGACTTCGCTCCTCCGCTAATCAACCAAGCTCACCATTCAACCCCCAACACTTCAATTCGATACGAGAGCACATTTCGCATTCCGGCTGAGCTTTGAACAACCGTCAAAATGTCTTCCTCTGCGCCTCGCGGCGGCGAGCGCATGATCCATCAGGATTTCATCGCCAGAATCAGATACTCCAATGCCCTACCGCCGCCCCCCAATCCGCCGAAGCTGCTCGACATTCCCAACACTGGTCTCGCCAGCGGCCAGTATACGACGCCCGGCTTCGCATCGCGTCTTGCCAGAGAGCAGCCGTTGAACATCGAGGTCGACGCGGAACTGGGTATGCCCCTGGACCTGGTTGGCATGCCAGGTATCTTCGACGGAGACGAGAGCTGTGAGTGAACTGAACGATCGCTTCCACGAGTGCCCTTCTGACATTCTCGAAGCAATTCAAGCACCTTCACACCCTCCTCAAGTCCATCCCCATGATCGACCACTCCTCAGACCGCTGTCCACACTAGGCAGAGCCAAGAGCAGCACCGAAGCCTCGGTCTCTTTCCTTCGCAGAACCGAATACATCTCCTCCGTGATGCCCCGAAAGGGTGCTGCCGGTGCGACCGGCGCCTTTATAAACCCCAAGCTCAAGCGTCCCGAGAAGCGCCGCTCGCCGGAGCCTGACAAGGACTCTCCCGCTGCCATCAGACGCAAGATCGAAAAGAGCTTCGAGAGCGCCGAGCGCTTCATCAGCAACCCGACCCGTCATCGCCACCCGAGCAAGCCCAACGTCCGCCTCATGTCATCCCACCAGCTCCTTCCCGATCACGACGCGCTCCCCGACTCCGGCGCCTACGTCACCGTCAAGCTCCTCACCAACCCTGTCGCGAGCGGCAACAAGTACGACCGCCGCCTCCTCAGCGGTCTACTGCGACCCCTCGACAGAAGCCGTGAAGAGAACGATGCATTCCAAGCCGCCGTCGAGGCTCACGAGCGCGACCCCGCCCGCAACCCCAAGCCCCAGAACCTCATGGACTACAGCTTCTTCTTGCCCGCATCAGTTTCCACAGCTGAGAACTTCCGCTCCAAATTTGATCCAGAGAACCCCGATAAGGACGACGATTCTCTGTACACACATAAGAGCGAAGGCACCGACGGTTGCTTCAAGTTCTCGCGTCTCCGTGCCTACGAGACAACCAAAGAAACGGAGCTGGACCACAACACCAAGTACGACGAGGAGCTCATCCTTGCCTTCAACGACGAGCCGACCAGCACCCGGCAGAAGGCCGCCTACTACTACCCTGTTATCCAACGCACCCAAATCCGCCCTCAACGTGCCAAGAACATTGCACGCACTCTCACCCAGGTGGAGGACGACACCCAGGTCGTCAACGAAGTTGAGATTTCCGTCTGCGACCCCAAGGGTACGACCGCGGAGAACATGAAGCGATACCGTGAGAAGCCGATTGGCTTCGTGGAGGAGGTCCAGGAACCTGAAGGAGCCGAGGGCAATGGCGAGGAAGCTGCCCTTCCATCGCCCAGCCCTGAGAGGGATGCTGACGGCGATGAAGAGGATGACGATTAGGGGGTAAAAAGCATGAAAGGCATGAGACACCATTGGATTTGAGGATTCATGACCTAAGCGATCAGACACAGCTCGACTGGACGGGCGTGTTGTAATACCATTCAGTTCCTTAAAGGGCCAAGTCTGCGCAGTTTGTGAAGCGGAGTTAAAAAATGGCAAGTAGACGAGGGACCGGACAACAGGAAATGAGAAAAATGTCGAGCAGTATCATCACTATCGTAATCAGTGCTTTGAACCCAAGTGCCGCGTCATGACATGATTAGGTTTTGTAATGTCTATCCGTTGGGTGGGTTTATAAAACATGAGGGTGGGTTTTCTACCTCGTTCCCGCCATTTCATCATACAATTTTCTTGGAAGGAACAGAAAGGTGCCAAAAAGGATACGGAGCAACATGAGAAAAAAACACAAGCAAGCAAATTTCCCTCTTTGCCTTTCTGGTATAGTTGGACGTTGCCCTCTACAGTAACGACTTTCATTACCCCGTTTCATATACCACCGAACTCCGTTTTTAGGGGGTTGCCCATGAAAAAAAAACACTACAGAAAATGACAAGAGAGCAAGGCCAAAACAGACTTCTACGCTGGCAGCGGCGGAACCCCTCCTGCTGAGAAACCAATCGTGTCTCTTTGGTCGTCGGTGACGCGGCCGTATCTGTGATGAGTAAGTCAGCATGATGGGAATGGCGTGGGTGTGAGTAAGAGATGGGTAGGGGCGAAACTGACTCTAACAAGAGGCGGAAGAACCAAACCTCCATGTCCTCCTTGCGAAGAACCTTGTTCGCCCAGTCGCTACTGCTGATGGCCATGCGCTCCGCCTCATTGCGTCCCAAGGCGCCGTCTCCAAAGAAACGCACCGCTTCGAGCCAATCGTCGCCCTGCAGGCTCATGGGGATGTAATGCGCCCAGGGACGCAGCCACTCGAAATGCCACTCGCGGAAGATGGCGAGCTTGAAGGTGAGAGATTTGGACTGCAGGAAGGCGTAGAAACGGCCCGAGAAGGCGTTGCCGTCCATGTCGAGGAGGTACTTGTACTTCCAGGCATCCTGCTGCTCGGCGTGGCCCTGGATCTTGAAGAATTCCTTCTGGGCGTCGCAGTCGCCGGGGTCACATTGGCCGACGTGGGAGAAGTAGACGTCGATGATGTCGCGGTAGTCGCCGCGGGGGACCTGCTTCACCTCCCACTTGGGGTTCTTCTCGTCGCCGCGGTTGATGTAGACCTTTGCCTGGTCGGCGGCGTTGATCTTTTGAACAAAGTGCTGACGGTGCTGCCGGCGCCAACCGCCGTTGCGAGAGAAGCCACCTGTGGTTGAGCCGCGCCAGTAGAGGCGGTCTTCCTTCTGCTCCCATGGCATATCCTTGGACTCATCGTAGGCGACCTTTTTGTACCAGTACCACGGAGACGGATACAAAATATCGTTGTAGGAGGAGATCTTTGACTGGGAGAAGATGGGGAACAAGTCGTGGACGATGTTGTAGGCGTTGGGCCGGTCGAAGAAGCCGAACGTCTCACCCAGCGAAGGGGAGAGACAGATGTCTGACATGGCAGTGATGTTGTAAATGAAGCCGAGCTCACTGACGCCGTACTTGCTCAGGTCGTCTGACAGTTCGTCCTCTTCGAGACCGCGCGAGGGGCTGTCGGGCGGGCATGACATGCGGGAGTGAGTCCAAGTCGGCTGGTGGGCGAAGACGTTGAACCGGGTGCGCTTATACTCCTCAATGATCTTGCCTTCACTCAGGTCTCCGTGTCGCTTTGTGAAGGTGTTGGACGGGTTCGGGGATGAGTTCGCCTTGGGCATGTTCACATCCTTGGCCCTCTTGACGAGGCGAGCCAAGTCTTCATGTGGCACCACAACGCGCGGCTCGTCGTGGATGTTGAAGGCTAGGTCCATGCTGGGCAGCCACTGGATGAACTTCTCAATCATGCCTGCGGTTGCCTCGCGCTGCCAGTCCTGTCCACCCTGGATGTGCGATGTCTTGTGGTCGCGAATCAGCAGGCCCAACAGCTTGTTGTCGAAGCCAAGGGCTTCTCTCGCACGCTCCCGTATCGTTTTCGGCTTCAGCCCCCAGAAGGGCGTGAGCATCTCATGTATCATGTCGAATTCGTCAATGAGCTGAACGCCGTTGGCCTTTGCGAATTCGAACCACTTGTCGAAGTTGGGCGGCGGCGGGATGCCATAACGTCTCTTGTACTCGGCGACGGCATCCTCGAGGGTCTTGGACTGCCTCTTGAGCGTCGTCTGGAAGTCCTTCTCGGCGTCGGTCATGAGGTGCCACATCGGGTGCGAGGCAGTGCCTGTCGCCGGCTTGGGCCGTCTATCGGGAGGGGGGCCCAGGTAGCCAGGTCCATCGTCAACGGGTGGTGGCTTCGCAGCTTCTGGCGCGGGTGGAGGAGGGTTGTTGGAGAGGGGTGACGTCGATATCGGTCGCTGGTCTGGCGGCAATCTGAATAGTGAGAATAGACAGATGGTAACGAAGGCGACGAGGCCAAGGGCCGTCCATTGGCGACGGCGCATGGTGATGATGTAGCCTGCCCCTCGCAGCGGGCTACGTCGAGGCTATTCCGACTGACTTCGGGGAAGTTGTGCGCAGGAAGGACTGCGCCGTTGGAAGCGAAGGTGGGAGGGGAGGTAAGACAGACAAATCAATGCCTCATCGCATGAAGAAGAAAAGACGTTGCGCCAAAAACTGCAGCCGCGTATGCGTTGACGTTGGTGTGACAAGCTGGATGAGTCTGTCCTATTGCTCAAGTGCTAGTGGAGGTATTGCTGTGGTCCTGGAGGTGCTGCTGCCACCTAACCTTCCAGCTCGCTTCTGGGCCGGGCGGACGCTAGGTTGGCAGGTCTGCGATTGACATGCCCCTAAAAGATCGCCTGAAGAGCGCCCAGATTGGAACGCGTTCATCCGTCCAGTGGCGTCGTGCCAAGAGCGACAGGGGTCGTAATTGGACACCACTAGCCACCCAGAGTTCTGGTCTAGATCATCACAGACTCAGGATCCCTTTGGGAATGACACGAGTCCCATCTACGAAAGCTTGATTTGGTCGAGTTCTACTCGGTAAGGTTAGTGGAATGCATCTTGCCATGTAGCGTTGAGACATCGGCCAAAGGGCCATATCGACCTTCTTTAGCAAGGCAATCAACAACACACCCAGCCTGCCGGAATCTCGCCCGCAACTACACAATGGATGTGCTTCCTAAATTAAGCTAATCCAGAAAATGACATGCAGAAAGACGGCTGGGGATTTCTTATTCGCTATTCAAACTCACGCATGATCTGATTATCTATATACCCAGCCTGCTTATGTATGTCGCTACAAATATGCAGCTGCTGGTCTTGGCCCATCAAGTTCTTGGCCAAAACACTTTGCGCAAATTAGATATTGTGGCTGGATGTCGAGAGACATGTCTCTGCACATATTCTCTCTTCAACGGCAATTACAGATTCGAGGAAGTGTGGATGCGTTGGTACCGTAAAACGTCCGCGACCACTACATCGGGAGTTTTTACCTCGTAGATTGGGAGCACATACGTATTGGCTCTGTTGATCCGAGAAGAATTAAAGCAAAGTCAAGCTTTCCGCTGTAACCCTCCGATATTACTGCGGTACTGGTCTTATCTGGGTTTCGGGAGCCAGTGCATAGCATCCGTGTGCTACGTAGGGAAGAAGAAAAGCTCCGTGGGGTTGGGGGCTGTCTGACGCATACCTAACGTGAGGCTTGCGGTTGCTTTTCTTACGACCAAATATGCCCATTTCGCCTCATTTTCGATACTCGAAGCAGCTAACGGTTTGAGTAATTGATTTTCTCGGTGAGCGGGTCGGTGACGCCTCAGAATGAGTACACTGAGATGGCGGTCAAAAAAATAATGCACGACATACCTGCGTCGCATCAAAAGAGCATCACGTGGAAGGCACTTTGGTGCGTTAAAAACTCGAAGCGGAGCCAAATTGCTATTGAGATATCGCAAATATGCAAAACATACTTGCATTGCATCGCTTAACTATCACGTGTAGGTCGCAGAATGGGCCTCCTGGAGCCTGCTGCCAGTTTGGGATTAAGGTGAAGCTGGTGATGGAACATTCGACAGTGCTCACCGAGACCATCGCCAGGTCTTGTGCACGCATATCCTGCATACGAGAAGCTCAGGGAGCAGAGGATAGAAATCGCGCAAGAGACGAGCCTGAAAGATAAAATGAAATAAAAAGCTCAGGAGCGGAATCGAACCGCTACCCTACGAAATTCTAGAGGACGTCAGTATGAATTTCTACCAAGTTCTGAATCAACGGGACGAGTCGTTAACCACTAGACCACTAGGCCTTGCGGGCTTGGGTGAAGAGCACGAGACGGGAGACAAAGATAAACCCTACCGGGTGTGCTCACGTACGGCAGGATAGCATGGAGGCCAGCAGGTTGCTCCTACCTGCGATGTCCGCGTTTCTAGCGGATCCAGGCGCAGGAGCATAGACGTGGAAACAGTTGGAGATCTCCTATATTTACTAGGTATGCTATGGCATCTATTTCCTGCAGGCTCTATTCTCATCTCCAACATCGTCTCTACTATCATCGTCGTCTCCATCACAGTCGTTATCGTCGTCACTGGAGTTTTAAACATGACCTCAAGCCATTTCAGTACGGGGAGTACAGCGCCATGGGCACAAAGAATGTGGTCCGTCTCTTGGATTAAGCTTCAATTAAATTTCCGAGCTCCAGCAAGTGGCACTTATCCTAGATGACTAGTACGTAGCCTAAATCAGCAAAGCAACCCATGTACTATGTGAAGCACTCGGCATTGATTTGGCAGCAACTTTGAGCACATCGCATCCACGATAATGAATATCATGCTTGAAGGTTTGAAGTGAGATGAAGCTCCTTGTGGCCCGCTCAACTTCGGATTTGGTACGACGACACGGATGAGTCTCCCACACTGACGAGACTCGTTTACCAAACCCTGAACTGCGTGTCAATCGGAAGCAATCAACCCAAAGAAATTCGAATTCGGTTGTCTCAAGCCCGCAGTTTGGTGCAGGGCAACTGAAATTCGTCGACTAAACTGGTCAGGATTTCGTTGAGGAACGACGTGAACAGCAGTTCGTTCGAGTAAATTAAGATTGAGATCCTTCCAGGGGTGAGGCTTGTCAGATCTCCAGGTGCTTCTGCATGCACCCGTTAGGCTACAGCAAGATCATGCTGAGGTAATCAACCAGCCCCCCACGCCCGACCAACCCGTACCCCAGTCTAGCTGCACGGCGCGTGGTCATCGATTTCATTCCCCATCTGAGTGGACGACGAACGATCTAGTGAACACGGCACATGATTGCTTGTCTCCGACCTCAAGACAACACACGCCTACCCAACGGAACCCGCTTGTCCTCGTGCCCAACGCATCTGGACCTGAGTCCGTCTATTGTCAAGGAATACTGAGTGGCCGACCGATCCGCACCTGGACGAGCGACGGATGGGGCATTGACTGGGTCAACGGCGACAACCCCGAACCTCGGCGCCGGGCGCGACCTGACTTCCTTCGACATCGAAACGTAACGCTCCGTTGCTCTTCCAGCACAGACAGGTCAAATCTGATCTAGCACTCTACTGCCGGCGACTCGAAGCTCCTCGCCATACCCAAACGCCGAGCTTATTCGAACACTCGTTCTCCGACATCGAAACAGCCGACAGGGCCGAGCAGTGATGATGGACCGCATTCGAGAATACCTGGGCAAGTCCAGCAAGCCCGATCGCGAAGAATATGAGCCCTTAGCAGAGGAAGGTCGCGAGCTCGAGGGCTCTGCGTTGTTGGAGGGTCAAGAAGAGGTGCCCTTCTCATGGACAGAGTACTTGATGTTCGCCTGGCTGGGTATGGCGATGTTGTGGGCATGGTACGGCATCCTCCGCTCGTCTTCTGAATAGTGTCCAGAACAGCACTCTAACGGTCCACAGGAACATGTTTCTCGCCGCCGCTCCCTACTTCCAGGTCCGCTTTCAGTCCGACGTTTGGATCCAACAGAACTTCCAGTCTGCGATCCTCACCGTATCGACCTTGACCAACCTCACCGCGATGCTCATTCTCACGAACATCCAATATACCGCCTCATACCCCTTCCGTATCAACCTCGCCCTGGTCCTCAACACGGGAATCTTCTCCCTTCTTACGGCCTCCACGTCGATGTTCCTCGACGTCACCCCGGGCGCCTACCTCGCCTTCATCCTCTTCATGGTAGCGTCCAGCTCCTGGGCCACAGGCCTCATCCAAAACGGCGCCTTCGCTTTCGCTGCCTCCTTCAACCGTCCGGAGTACATGCAGGCCCTCATGGCCGGCCAAGGTGTTGCAGGCGTGCTGCCCCCGATCGCGCAAGTCATAACCGTCCTTGCGGTACCAGAAAAGGACAGCGCCAACGAGACAGACGCGATCCAGGCGTCCAGCTCCTCGGCCTTTGTCTACTTTCTCGCCGCCGTGGCCGTCTCAGTCTCTGCCCTCGTTGCCTTCGTCCCCCTCGTCCGCCGCCACAACCACATCATCGAAGCCCGCATGGTCGAAAACATGGCCGAGTCCCTCAACTCCGTGCAGGAAGCCGAGCGCGCCGCCCGCAAGGTCGTCTCCCCCTTCCAGCTGCTCAAGAAGCTCCACTGGCTTGCCGGCGCAATCTTCATGTGCTTCTCCGTCGCAATGTTCTTCCCTGTCTTCACGGGCAAGATTCTCTCCGTTAGGTACCCGGGCGACGAGAAGTCCCCCGCGGGCGCTCTTTTCCGTCCGGCCGCCTTCATTCCCCTCGCCTTCTTCGCATGGAACTTGGGAGATCTCTCCGGACGCATGGCCACCATCCTACCATTCTCCCTGCGCCATCGCCCCGCGGCCCTCTTTGGCGTGAGTCTCGCCCGCCTAGGGTTTCTGCCACTGTACCTCCTCTGCAACATTGGCGGCCGTGGTGCGGTGATCAGCAGCGACTTCTTCTACCTCGTCGTCGTTCAGTTCTTCTTCGGTCTGACCAACGGCTGGCTCGGCTCGAGCTGCATGATGGCGGCCGGCGAATGGGTCGAGGACGGCGAGCGCGAGGCCACGGGAGGATTCATGGGATTATGTCTGGTGGCTGGCCTGACGACGGGCAGTCTCCTCAGCTTCTCGGCGGCTGGCATTTAGGAGATACTATGGCGTACTTGGTTAATGCATTGTTGAATTGGGACGGAGTTTTCGGGATACACATATAGCATGACAGATCACGATTGTTGATATCAACATAGAAACATATTCTTACACCAAGGAGCAACGACTCCTTTCGGGTATAAAACATTACGAACACCTAGGATGAAGTGCCAAAATCAGAACAGACCAGCCAAGATGTCATCCGCGTTCAACTCCTCTGCCCTCGGCAACTCTCCTTCATTAAACGTGCAATACCATCCCAAGAACTCCGCCACCGATCCAAACACCCGTGAAGAGTAATCCCACTGCGACACAAAGGTATACCTCCACCTCCAACCACCCTCATCCCCAGCCCGTCTGCAATACACAGCACAAAACCACCCCTCCTCCCTCCCCTCCCCGAGCTCCCACCCGCCAGCAACCTCCCATCCGGGCCCCAGCCCGCTCATCTGCTTCGCCTCCGTCGGCATCATCACCCTCTCCGCCGTCCTGCGCTCAAACTCCCTCCCCGCCGCCGCCGTCCCCCAAAGCCTGTCCCTTAATCCCCACCAGAAGAACGCAGTCCGGTCCTTCGCGAGCCCAGGCACGTCCACCGCATCAACCTCCTCCGCCAGGACTCGAAGCTCCTCAGGCACGCCAATGCTCTCCCACACCTCCTCCAGACACGTCCGCCTCAGCTCCCTCAGCACGACGTCAAAATACTCCCCCCACATCTTGCTCCTCATCCCCTCCCGCGCCTGCGGCGACGTAACCCCGTCGAGCCCCAACCGCGGCACCAGCGCATCATACCTGTCCAGCACATCCCCCGGCGTCGAGATCCCCAGCTCCGCGAAGCAGTCTTCGTCCGCAGACAGCAAGCCCCGCAGGCTCTCCATCCGGAGCCGGTCCAGGTCCTCGCCGTCGTCGAGGTCCGTTTCCGCAGCCGCGATGAAGGGCACGTAGACCTCCAGGACCTGGCGGTTGCGGGATGCCACGTGCGAGCGGTACGCGGCCAGCGCGGCTTTGACGTCTACTCGTGCGGAGCGCATGTCGATGTGCGTGTCGCTTGCTGGTGATATGGCATGAAGAATGCGACGTTGATGATGATTTCTACTTCATGGTTCGGCTTTTGTTGTTTTGCTCGCGCGAGTCAATTTTGTTGTCATGCCGCTGGATCCGACCGGGTGCGAGGTGGGCAATTTTAATTTATTTAATCAGATCAACACGCGATGGTCCTTGTGTGAAGTTTGCAATTGAGCTTAATCTATGGGGCTTGCTGGTTGTCCCAGAGATATCATGGCATCACAATCAGTCTCTTCTCCTCATCAAGGATGTGTACGGGCCGCATCGGCCTTTGCGTCTGAATTAAATTACACTGTTGTACTTGCTAATTATACACTGTTTTACAGAGGAGAGGGCTCCGGAGTGTCGAGCTCCTCAGTTCCAGAGCGCGCAGTTCCTCATCTGGCCACGGCCAGTATACCACTCCCCTTCGACGAGGGCGAGCTCCTTTGCGCGCCACTCGTCAAATTTCCACTCAATGTTCTTCCAGTCCAGGTCAGCCAGCTTTGCTTCGAAAGACGCATCATCCACTTCCTTCAATTCCTTCACGGTGCCGTCTTTCTTCTTTTCTTTCTTCATACGGTATCGCACGAAAAGAGAACAGTCCCTCAACGTCATGGTTATGCCATAATCGACGTCGGTAATGTTTTTTGCTCTTCTGAGAGGACCGAGTGGATCTTTGGAGAGTTGATGTTGTTTCAACAACTTGAGTGTGGGTTTTTGCTTCAGGAGCTCGTACAGACGAGCATAATTCTCATCGTCCTTGAAGATCTTCTTGATTGCCGCAGCGCGGATGGATTTTTTGCCTGGAGGTGTTTCTCTCTCAGGGTCGAGCCAGAGAGGGCAGGGGTAGTTGTCCGGGCTCAGCCGCTGCTCCTTGATTGGAGAATCGATCTTGGCTTTGGCCTTGCCCTTGCCCTTGTCATCGCTGGTCTTCTCACCTCCCTCCACCTTGTGACTGGGTTTATTGGCCGCGGTTTGGGGGTTGTTGGCGTCGTAATACTTCTTGGATGCGAGAGCACAACACCGGCAGGTATTGGCTTTCGGGGGTGCTGACGGCGACTGAGCCAGCCACTTGGGCTTGAATTCGACAGCGCGCTCACCCGGTCTCGGTCGCATGTCTTCAACTAATGCGACAAAACATTCTTCACCCGGTTCGATTGTGTCCCCTCGAAACTTGGCAGGCCGTCTGGGGGGAGGAATGGTATCCAAAGCCTTCAGATGGTTCACCATATTCATGATGATGTCTTTGTTGCCTTTCCCCAGTCTGTGCGCAACAACTAGGTCATTCCGGCTGTCGAAAATTGGCAGAATGAACTTCTGGAGGTAGCTTAACTGCAAGCCTGCATGCAGGTACGGCTTGTTGGGATCTTTGGGTGCCTTTGGCACTCTCAAGAGAAGTTCTGTGAATAAGTCAATGACAAGCGAGCAGAGGCAACGGTTCCCATAACTTACTATTGAGGAGATCTTCATCGGTCTTGTCGCGTGGGTCGGGCTTTCCGGCATATGGTGGCAAGTGGGCTTTGAAAACGACGTTCGCAGCCCCCTCAGCGACATAGTCGATATATAGCCAGTGGCCAATATACTTAGTATCTCTGGCACTGGTCAACTCAAACGAGAACGGCGGGCGGTTGGCGAATGGGAGTACCATCGCGATAGTAGTCGTGGTAGTGATAGATAGATAAGAAGGCAGTGAAGCGATGTCTGGGGGTTTTGATAAAGGCGAAATTTTTGTCGTAGAATGAGATGATGTTGTCGGGAAAACGATGCCAGAGGGAGAGTCCGGAGGCTAAAAGCTAGATACCGTAGGAAACCACCTACTTTGGGGGTTAGGTGGCGGCCGCTTTGAGGAATGTTTTACCCAGGACGGAGGAAGCAACGCCCATTGTGGATGGTTCAAGTTAAGAGGATATGGCAACTCGGGTAGTGGAAGGTCCTTCCCAACCGTGGGACTAAGGTAGAAAAAGACTGAAGGTGAAATGCGGAGCCGACACTGCCCGTCCAAACGATACCTCGACCTGGATCTTCCTGCTATCTTGAGTGAGTTTGGCCAATCCAGCATGGACACAGGATACGTTGGTGAGGTAAGACCACAGATGTCAGCCAACCCAACCCAACCTAGACTGTCCTCCTCGGGCCGAAGACGAAGGCAGCGAGAACGGCAAGCGACAGCGTCTGGCCCGACTTCACCTCCTGGATAGATTCAGCAAATTTGGAGCGATATCGACACGTCTCCATCTGCGATTTGTTGCTGCGGCGCAACGAGGGAGTTGTTGTCATGGGCTGTTGTTGTCTTTGCGAAGTCAGCGGTATCCCAGGATGACGACAGACTTTCCCCTTCCGGGAGTGGAGCAGAAAGCTGGCTTTTTTGGCGCTGGCAAGCTGAGCTTCCGTCGACACAACCGTAGCAGACAGGCTCTTCCTTGGTTCAGCAGGCGCTGAGGGGTTGGCCAATGACTGACACCCTTTCCGCAAGGAGGCGTCGGCGTTGGCGTGTTTGTCATGTTTTGGGCGTTGAACAGGACGGGACGAGTGGTCGGTGCAGAGCGAGCAGTCGTGTGAGGCTGTTCACTTTCGCTAAAATTTACCCCAGAGTCTCGTGAGAGGCTCGTCGTTATTAGTGGACTGGAAATCACTGGATACCGCATCTCCTCCCGTTGCAGACTGAGGGGCCGAGTACGGTGCATACGTAGGAAGATGGTCCAATTATTCCATCGGCACAGCGTCCGCCCCATGCACATGCTTCCATTCCATACATGAGTTCCTGCGGCGAGAGCAAGGCACGCTCTCAGCTCTGGCAATCTGGGTAGCACTCTAGAAAAGCGAGGCGCCGTGCCGGCCGGTCTCTGCCGGAGGAGGACCGAGAATGGCCTGTGCAGTTGGTCGCTCGTGTCAGTCCCCACCGGCGGCCCAGAACGCATCCATGGACTGCGTCGTTTTCTTCCTTTGCGGCGTCGCCCGTTGGCTCCCTTCCACCGATAAGCGGACCACTGCGGAGAGCAGATCCAAGGACAGGGCCGTTGGTGGCTGGATGAGTGGCCTAGAGTGAGGGGAAAGGGACGAGCGGCACTGGCTGGACGTTGAAAGTAGGTAGATAGCAGGTCGTATTGGGCCGTGGGTGACGGGAGAACAGCAGCAGATCTGACAGGAGGTTTCGATGGGATAAGAAAGCGTCGGACTGGGCGACGGTCAAGAAGGAGGGGAAAGAGAGTCATCGCCTCGGGGCCAAGTGATGGCCGGGACGGCGGGCAGGTTGCAAGACCCGAGAGCGAATCGTCGGACGTGATTTGTCCGTGTCCTTGATCCTTCTTCCAGCAGTCTACAGGGGCCACGAACACCTCACCGGCCTGGCGTCTGCCTTGCTATTATTACACGGAGTATTGCCGTGGAGCGCATCTCTTCATCCCCCAGTCCAGGAGACCGAAGATGACGATGCAGGAGGGGAGAGAGAGCATGGTCTGAGATGGAGCAAACCAGCCCATGCCAAATTGATTTCCAGATTCAGCCTTCATGCAGATGCATCCACCAAAAGGGGACGGCGGCGTTTCCTGGAGTTTGGCAGTTTTCGAGAATCCTGCAAAGTCATCTCATGCTTTTTCGGTGCTTAGAGCGTAAAGTGCCCTGATGTCGGATCATGTCAAGCACATGTCTGTCGACGTCGTCCGATCTTTGCTGACTCTCCACCCCTCGTGACCGGTCCAAGGCTGCAACGGCCACTGGCACCAACCAACACGGCGGGATGCGGATGCGATGCGATGCGAAGAAGCCATGCCATGCCATCGGCGGGTTCATTTCGCCAAACGGTCCCAGAAGGCTGATTCGATTTTAGCTTGACAGATCTGAAGAGTCTCTGCGACACCCCCGTTCCCCAGACGGTTCGCGCTTGGGGAAACGAGGCCCAACTCTAAATCGGCGACCGTCATGATCTCTTCTGTTAGTTCTTTCTCCGTCGCTTTGCTGCCCGCCGCGATATGCCTCGTGGGTGTGTGCCAAATGGCAGATGGCAGATGTTAGTCTGGCCCGTTGTCTTAGAATCCAACCTCGGGTGACTTGCATGATGGCCAATTTGCCCCTACCTTACTCATACCGCCCTTCTCACAAGCAAAAACGCACCTAGGGACGGGCCTGTAAACACTGCCTGCCCTCAGTGCTACGCGCCAGCCGGGCTGCCAGACAAGCAGGTTGCAACCACTGTAATTAAGTGGAACACACCCCTCCAAACACTGAGGTGTGAATCCCCCCTCCGCCGATGGAACTTGGAAGACCAACTGGAAGGGCTTCCTCCTGTCTTAACCGTGGCTTGGGGGCGCCCATCACGCTGCAGCCGTTGCGCCGACCACTCACACAGGGCGCCGACGGTGCCCACCGCTTCTGTCGCCCCACCCCAGTCGACCTCCCTGCACGCGACACCTGCAGGAGTCGACCAGTCACAGCACCCGGTTTCCCAAGTATCAGAAATTTTGCGGGAGGGAAAAAAAATTCACGCTAAGCCCGCACCGCACCACTTACCTCCGAGTATTCCCTTGATCTTGGGAGGCGCTCCCGAATACAATAGTGTATTCGTAGCGCACCCGACCAGCGTCATTCGGAGGAAAACGCACACACGCACCGCACCACCACCACCACACAGAGCTCGCCCGATCTACATCAAGACCTGCCTCCTCGCCAAACCAACCCTCCTTCTCCTCCCACTCACCCCATATTATCCCGCTGGTCTTCCCCGGACTCTCGCCTTCTAATTGCTCTGCTCCTCAACGAGTCCGTCCTTTATTCCTCCCGAGAAACCGTTGCGAACAAAGCTCAAGAGCTCTTTCCGTCGAATGCCGATTTCATAGCGACCCCCTCCGATCGACTTCGTCCTACTTTTACCCGGCCGAACGGCCTACACCAAATCACCCTTCGATGGTTGGCTGCAGTTAACGCCATTTCAACATGGCCTTCAACTTCAACTGGTCGCCGCTGACGGCCGACGCCGAGTTCTATCAGCGCGCCCGCGAGATGCTCACAACTGCCCTGAACAAGTCTCCAAAGCCGCCGATTATCGTCGATGACATCCTCGTTACCGAGTTCAACCTGGGCTCCGTGCCCCCCGAGCTGGAGATTCTTGAGATTGGCGACATTGCGGAGGATAGATTCCGAGGAATATTCAAAATGTGCTATTCTGGCGACGCCTTCCTGACGTTGAAGACCCGGGTTCAGGTATGCCGATTTTTTTTTTCTGGTGGCTTTTTTCCTCCCGCCTTCCCTGCACCCGCAGCTTTGGAGGCGAAGCTCGGTGCCGCGGCTGCGGCAATGACTTCACCAATGCCGCAACCCGACGAACATGCACAAATCCAACCCCGACGCATCCCCGTTCCAGCGCGACTTCGTTGCATCGAGCATTTTCAATCGCGATGCCATTCCCATGCCAGTGCTTGGAATGAGCGCGAGCCCCGCCAACGACTACATAGCCGAGACTCAATGACGCTGCTCCCAAAACCATCGTCAATGAGCTCGGTTACTAGACTGCCCAACTTTCTCTCGCCTATCCCTCGGCACTTACCCCAGACATCCCGGTGTTTGTTTTTTACTCATCAAATATTTCGTCCCTACCCGCGTCCTTGCATTGATGCTGAAATTACCTTGCTGGGATGCGCGTCCTTAACCTCTCTACGGACCTACCAAAATGGAACGTGCGTCATAGCAGTAGCTAATATATCAACAAACAGGCAAATCCACTGAATACCTACCTATCTTCTAAGCCAAGCTTCACATCGCCCCAGCCATTGGCGGCGGCATCGGGGTTAACAATCCCGCTGTCAATCACCTTGTCCGAGATCAAGCTCTCGGCTTTCATCATCTTGGTGTTTTCCAGGACGAAGGGGCTCACCCTGGTTTTCCGGAATGACCCGCTAGAATCGCTTAAGGTCTCCTCGACCTTTGATTCGATCCAGTTTGTGCGCGATTATCTGCAGCGGACTATCGAGGCCCAATTGAGGAATCTGATGATGGACGAGCTCCCCGCCATCATTCACCGCCTGTCTCTCCGCCTATGGTGCCCCGATGCAGTACCAAAGGACGAGGATGCGTCCAAGGAGAACACTGATGAGACCGTAGTGGACCCCTTGGCTAGCCCCCCATTAGACCCCGTGGACGCGAATGGCAACCTGCTCGATGCGAACGACGTGTCGTCACTATCGTTAGAGGGCGGCCCAGAGGTCCAATCACTTTTCTCGCAGAAGAACCTGCTGAGACTAGCTGCATTGAACGACTCTCATCGCACCTGCTCCCTCTTCACGCCGGGTATCCGCGATGTAGTTTTCAGGGCTTGGACCAGACCTGCAGCGTCTGAACCAAACAGTACCCCGCCAACCGCGACCCCTAGCTTATCCAAGACGAACTCGTTCGCTGGGACGTCGACCACGTACACATTCTCTGACACAGGTAGCGCAGCTCACGGTCACCTGCCATCCCGGCCGTCCATGGTGAGCCTTAACTCGGCGACCACCGGACTGTCTCTGGGAGCTGGCATTAGATCGAAATCGTATGCGGGCCGGAAGAAGAAGAACAGAGTCGTCAACCTCCGTCGCACCCACAGCGAGGTGTCCACACCAGAGGCAAGCGACACTTACTCGGATATAGCGTCTGATTCTGCTTCCGTGGCAGGCCCTTCGACCGAACCCCTCACTTCCTGCTCCATTGCGGAGGATCCTGAACAGGAGGAGGCCCTGGCAGAGCTGGCCAATTCCACGCCGAGCAAGGTCCGCTTCAGCCCCGTCGAGAGACCCCAACTCCACTCCCGGCCTCCTTTGCAGCCCAACTTCTACGCTCCGCCCACCGAGGCTCCCAGTGCGCCTATCAAACTCGATAGCGCCCTCAATGTGGAGACTACTCCGACGGCCCAACAGCCAGCCGACAAGGCTCGGACTTATCCCAATGAGAAGGGCGCTGCTGGCGAGAACTCGACTGTTTACGAGCAGGCTTGGATCATGAAGATGGCTGGAGAGATTGCTCGCCGTGTCTACGACGAGAAGAACCGTCAGCAGCAAGACATGTGGGACGAGAGGGAGGATGTTCCCCCTCCGGCCTACGAAGCCTCAACCTAAACAACAGACCTGCGCATAGCAGGTGAACATAACGTACGACCGTACAAAGATCACCACCTACCCATCCACTCTGCTGGATTTAGCATTTTCCTTATCGTCTGTCCCATCGACTTCTCCTCGCAAGGCGTTTGGGGAGCTTTTCTCTTTTTCCCCTTTTTTTTCAAGCGGAGACAACACAAAAGGCTCTGCCAAACCATTGATTGCTTTAGTGTTAATGTGTATATCCGCATGGCGTTCGACAGGAGAAGGGAGGGGATCATAAAAAAAAGAATGTTTGTCTTGTCGACGACGGGGAAATCAAAGATTGGAGAAACCACGGCTCCCCCCCTCATCGTCGAATTTGTTTTGCGCTTTTTGGATTCTTTGGGTTGGGATTCGGGGGGCCACCAACCACGACTGAACTGATGACATGACGAACGGCAGTCTTTTAGAGACACACCAAACTTTACGGCTGCTGCTACTACCTTATCACGGCATCATCAGCCCATTTTTAGCGACGTCCTCGAAAAGGCGCGTACGCATACATACCAAACTTTACACCCTTTTCTTTTGTCATGGAATTATATGCACAGAGTCACGTCCGCGGAAGACGGATAGACAGAGAGAGGAGGTGGAACAATAGCAGGAAGGAGCCGCTGCTGCAGACCAGGAGAGGAAATCACATTGATATCATTCGAAAGAGCGGGGAAAAGGGGGTCAGACGGAATCTGTGGACAGACATTGAGTATCTTTTTTTGCGCGAAAGCCTGGCTCGACAGAGAGAGACCCATGGCGAAAGGCATGTCAGTTAGACATGTCGGAAGAATCAAACTCCCATCTTCTAAGCATAGTACTGTTTTCTCAATTGCGTCTGTGAAGCATGCTATCGATACACCTTGATTCGCCACACCATTAAGCATCGACAAGCTAAGCCGAGCCTATTTATATGCTCATCCTGTGACAACTACTCGATCTTTGCCTTTTTGTTCGACAACTCGACGTCTTCCATTGAGATGCATCGCTTCAACGGCGATGTACGAACCTCAGGACGACGTCGTTCGATGTTCGAGTGCGCAGGATACGGAAAATGACGCGTTGCAGAAGGCCCAGGCACATCATGTGCTGTCAAGAGTCGGATTTGACTTCTGTTGTCATGCTGGCTGCTGCAACTTCTCATATATGACAGAGCTTGAGATGACACCGTCCGTAAATATTTTACGGTCTCAGGTGTAAGAGATTGTGACATTTCTGCTGCGATAGGCTGCTGCTCGGAGGTTTCACCCCGTGGCAGATGGTGGTCGCCCTGCTCCTCGTGGTCAACCGCACTGTCCAGCATCCGCCGGATTTTGCTGTCAAGTATTTTCTTCCCGAAACGGGCACATCCTTGTTGATGCTCGTCCAATAGTGCTTCAAGATATAAATGTCTCTTCAGCCCATGAGGCCAACGGGCTGCCGCATAGTCATGAATACTGTCGAGTACGAAGTTCTGGGCCACGTCAAGGACGCCTAACTCCCACGGGTCAGCCTCGCTGTCGCCGCAAGACGCGAGTGCCACAGAGTAATCGAACTGCGGGCACAGGATATTGCTGTCCACTGCGGCAGCAACAGCTTCAATCTAGGAGTCGAGAATCTTCCGCAGATTTTGCTTCGCTTCCTGTACCTTCTTTTCGTCTTGCTTTCGTTGGGCTTCGTCGGTCTTGCGTCGTTTCCTAAAGAGCCCCTTGTTTTTTGCGCTGGGCGGCTTCTAGCTGCTCGCAGCAGCAGCGTTCTCGGCTTTGAGCTTGGCAAGTAATGCTTCCCTCTCCTTAAGAATCTCGAGCTGTTTCTCGGCCATCTTCTGGACCTTGGCCTTGGCCTCTGCGAGTTTCTTAACCTCGATCTGCTCCGTCTCGAGACTGAAGGGCTGTCCTGGCTTATTTACCGCGGGCAGAAGGGAACTCCGCTCCCAGGAAACTTGTACGTTAGACGTCTTCTCAGGCAGAGGAGGAATCGGCTTGTTCTTCCCCTTGCCGCCCTTCCCAACAGGATGGCCCTTTGGAGTAGCTCCAGAGGTAAGGATCTCGTAGAAGGCTTCGTAAGGCTCATTGAAGAGCTGCTCTTCGTAGTTCCACGCGGTAATCTCACCATTGTTCTGGCGGGCCATCTGTTCCTTCTCGGCATCGGTCCTACCGAAGGGGTGCAAGCGGAGATTGTGGTACAGAGTTTGGGGCTTCTCGCCGGACTCGGTCACGTAGTACATCTTAATTGTGATCTCGAATTCTCCCCATCCGGTCTCATGGATGATGAAGGGTTTTCCGGGTTCGCCGTCGATCACTTCGTTGAGGTTAGCAAGGTTCGCAGCCTAGTAGGAAAGGCGAAGGGGGGATCGCACTCCGCACGTGGTTGGGGATGGACTCATGTAACTTGAACTGGACTCTTCTAAGCCAGTAGGTAATGTCTGTGTCGTCAATACCCTTTACAAAGACCTCCCACGAGTGGGTGTGGTCGTCAGGGACGCCCTCTGGCTTCGGATTGCGCTCGGGATCGAAGGGTCGGGCAGTGGTTCCGTAGATGAAGGAACGCTTGATCTGGGTGCCCTTGACGCGTTTACCGAGGCTGCTGGGCGGCGCCATCTTTGCGGTTTTTTGCGGAATACTCGGATGGATTGATATGTCTTGTGTGACGATACAGTATTAAGACAATCGTTGTCGTTAAAGTTGGTGTTCGAAGATGTACATGGTGGAAAATGAGTTGTCGCAAGGATGGTTTCTGCAGTCGCGCCCCAAGGCGAAGAAAGACAAGGTAAGAGTACCTTCAGGTAGCCTTACAGGTGCGCAACTTTAAAGTGGGCCAGAAATATCACCCCTCGCTCTTTCCCCATCGAATCTGTTGCCGAGTCTAGGAAACTCTGACGCGACGCCGTCTTTCATCCAGCGGCAAGTCAGGAAATAAGGGTGTTGTGCAAAAGGCAATGGCGTTCGCAGGTTTGTTCGAACCGAATTTTGGCTGTTTTCATGAGTCCGCCTGTTTTTTACTACATTTCCTGTGTGCTTCTGCGACCTTCTGAAGGCGTGTGATATACATCTACAAATGCATTTACAGGGAACTAACCCACAAGAAACGCAGAATGCACAAAGTGAAAGGTTGAAATTACTGACCGCCCGAAGGACAGAACTTGAGTACAATCTGGAGAGGTACTCAATTTCTACACTAAGCTTGGCATCCAGCGCTGGTTATGAGGTCATAGACGAGTCTCCACTGGAATTGAGAACCGGTCAATGACTTTCTACAAAGTGATAATAGTTAAAGAAGCGTCTGGACGAAGTATTGAGATCTTTCTTTCGTGATGCTTCGAACATCTCAGTATACACTCATTGGTCTGATGTGTCTGGTGCATTTCTTCTAGGTCGGTTCGTCCGTCCCATGGAATATTCCAAGCTCAGGCACAGTGGACGGCGCAGCCAACGCGAATCGGGTCTGGCCAATGACAAGCTCCAATATAGCTGCGCACCCCTGTAAGCGCACGCCTGCGTCAAGACCCTGGAAGATTTCAATGGAGAGCTGGGGGAGCTTCGGGGCGGGTGATGATTTCATGACTTTGCACCGCGTCCGGAACGGCATCGAACCACTCTCGGAAGAAACTGGCATGCGATTGTTGGTACACTAACGCCGAATTCGGGGTTCAATCTTAATCAACAGCAATTGGCTTTCATCCAGCTCTGTTCGCTCGTGATCTCTTCCAATTTCCCCTCAATTGGTCGACCGCTCATACCTTCTCACACTACGACCATGTCCACATCAGCCGTCACCAAGAAGCTCGTGGTCTGCGGAGGAAACGGCTTCCTCGGGTCAAGGATCTGCAAGTATGCCGTTGCGAGAGGCTGGGATGTCACGTCAATCAGGTACATCCTCCCATAGGGCTTCATCCAGCTGATCATCTTCTCTAACATCGTTCCGCAGCCGCTCAGGTGAACCCAAGTGGCAGGCAGTGACCTCATCAACAGCCCCTCCTCAATGGGCACACAAGGTCTCGTGGGAGCGTGCTGATATGCTCCGCCCCGCAACATATGCACCGCTCCTTAAGGGCGCCGACTTCGTCGTCCACAGCATGGGCATTCTCCTCGAGGCCGACTACAAGGGAGTCGTCTCCGGCCAGGAGTCACCCATCTCCGGTCTCCAAAAGGCTTTCGCGCCCGTCAAGGACCGCGGCGTCGACCCCCTCAAAGGCCCCGAGGGCGCTGACCTCAAACCCACAAACCCCAAGGACCAATTCACCTACGAGGTCATGAACCGCGACAGCGCAATTGCCCTGGCCAAGCAGTCAAACGCCGAGAACGTGAAAGCATTTGTCTACATCTCTGCCGCCGGAGGTGCGCCTGTACTACCGGCGAGGTACATCACCACCAAGCGCGAGGCAGAAAGCACAATTGCCAGCGAATTCCCGCGCATGCGTGGTATCTTCCCCAGGCCGCCCTTCATGTACGACAGCTCGAGAAAGTTCACACTGCCTCTAGCTGCCATGACGGGCGCTGGTGCTCTGTTCAACAAGCTGACTGGAGGCGTGTTGGGCAGCTTCATGGGTGCAAGCGGTGTGAAGCCTTTGCCCGTGGAGTCCGTGGCAGAGGCAGTCGTAGAGGCACTGGATGACACCAAGGTTCAGGGGCCTATCGAAGTGCCTGAGCTCGAGGAGCTGGCGAACAAGGGATGGAGAAAAACCATGCTCTAGGGCATGTCATGTATTCTAAAAGTTGTCATAGACTGTATCATTCCCCAAAGAGGCCGTAAGGCTCCCCGCGCGCCTTTACTCCCATTAATTCAACATCCGGCTCTTAAATCATGGTTCCTCTCTCGAAACTGTCCCTAATCTCCGCAGTGTACTTGTTGTAGAAGCGTGCCAGCTTCTGGTTGAACTGCTTGTTCTTCTCGTTGATGTATGTGACGTCGCCGTCGTCGCCGTTTTGTGCCATGCGGTCCTTCCTCTTCTTCAATCGGTTCTCCTCAGCTCTCCTGAGGTCTTCCACAAGTCGGTCAATGGCAGCCTTGTCGGGCTTGCTTTGTGTGAATGTTGTAGAGTCGGCAGTTGAATAGAAAGACCCGTCCTTGTCCACCGCGATGAGCTCTCCGTCTTCCGTCTCGACGATGTCGAGTCCACCAGACGCCGCCGCGCGCTCGATGGCGGCCATCTTGTCCTTCTCGTACTTTTCCATATCCGGCGCGATATTCCTGAGCTGCCGCTTGTAAATCTTGTTGCTCTCGGCAGTGTAATCCTGGAACGCATTGTTGTCGCGGTGCGCCTCCTTCTTCTTCACGCGCTTGTCCCACTTCTCGCTCTCGTCGATGGTCCAGTCCCACGCGCGCTTGCGCTCAAAGTCACCACCGGCGTCCTCGACATCGGCCTTGAGAAGCTTGTGCGAGGCTATGGCCTGCTTGCGGTGGATAGCAGCCAGTTGGCTGGGGTCTGTAGCGAGGCGTTGGGACTCGAGCGTCGCTTCTTTGAAATTTTGGTCGGAGGAGCTCTTGGCGCGGGCTTTGAGGGCTTTGAAGCGCGCCATGCGATCTTGTGCCTTTGACACAGCATCGTTTGATGCGGATGATTCTGAGACTTCGGCTTCTGTGTTTGTTGCGGTAGATTCCTCAGCATCAGGCTTTTCGGTAGCGGCAGGTTTTGCCGGCGCGTTTTCCTTGATTTCCTCTTTGGCGGTGGCCTTGGGCTCGGTCTTTCTCTTCTTAGCGGCAGGAGGCATATTTATGGTTATGAAAACGTGATCGGGAAAGTCGTGGTTATGCTGCTGATCGCAAATGGTGGAAATTCGCTGGGGTCTTGGTTGGAGACGGGATGTCACTGGAGAACTGAAGTGCGCCAGGTGACGAGAGCCGTGACGCTCCTCCGAAAAATCTCCAGCCTTCAAAGTATGTGGCTGGTGCGGTGCACTGTTTGTGGCTGTGCTTCAACCGGAACAACAGATAGCCCCACCCGCTGTGGATCGTATGGGGGGAGGCCACAACGGGACCTGCGAGAAAGCACCCGCGGCTCCGCGGGCGGGCCATCCCTGTCGCGCCCCAACACCCCCTGCGTCCAGTCTCCCCTCAGCACCTAGACGCGCCCTCGGTAGTATGCGGCTCCCAGAATCAGACGATTTTTCAAGCGACATCGCGTGTCCTTGAAAAGCTTCATCCCCAAAACTGACCTAGGCTCGGAGCACCCAATGAGCTAGCCAAGCGCGCCAGCTATGCCCCCTCTGAGATGTGCGAGTGGCATCCAAGGCCTTCGCCGCACAACTTCATTTCCTGCCGCGGCAGCTCCGTTTCATTCTACTGCTCATCTCACGAAAAGGACACGACCAAGGATTCACCTGAGAAAACGCAGCACCCCTACACCAGGACCATGGTGGAAGCCTTTTGAGCTCACAGAGGCGGTTTTGGACCTGGACAGCTACGAGAGCAATTACACGCGACCGTATGACAAGGCCGAAGAAGTGGCCCAGACTGCAAAATGGAAGTCAGATCCAAGGAAGGATGCCATGGGGAAGCGCATCGACAAACTTGAGGCCGACTATAAGGACGCCAAGAAGAAGCTCGAGATCATTCAAAGCAAGTCCTGGCAACCATGGCGTGTCACGGATCTCGATATCATGGCTGCTGCTCTTCAGGGAGCCCCCAAACACTCAGGGCGCGAGACCCAAGACGTTGACAGTGTTCAACTCGAAGTTGTCGACAAAAATGGCATTCCCTTATCCGTCTGTGAAGACGACGAGCGCCTTCTAGAGTGGCTCATCCACCGAAAGCACAACGCCCGTCCATGGCGACTGGGCGCTGAAGAGCTTTCACGACTTTTAGAGGAACCAAACAATGCCAGAGAGTTTCAGCGTTTACTCTCGAGATTCCTAACGTCTGGTCAAAGTCATGAGACAATCGCAAATAACGCCACCGCTATTGCAACGGTTATATCAGATGCGCTTTGTCGTTTGGAGCGCCCCATCGAATTGCTGCCCATCATCAACAGCTTCAACGCTCGCTGCGAGTTGCACGGCTATCCAATGGGTCTCCCGCTTTGCCACGAGGGTCTGAGGCTTTGCGCTGGAGCCTTCAAGCTCTGGGGGTTGCAGAACTACATCGAACACGCCTTCAGCCATCGGTACGGTGTTGAGCCAGTCGTTATCACTGAAGTAATGCGCATCCTCCAAAAGGAGGTACTATTAAGAGAATCACAAGAGAAATCTGGCGTCGGCTCAGACCTGCAAAGCTTTGAAGGCCCCCGGTTGAATCTCAGAACCTGGAAATTCAAGATCTTTCGCATCTTGACTGGGGCTCCAAAGAAAGGAAATCCCGACAAGACGAAACCGTGTTTCCGGAAAATAGTCGAGAAGAAGCCCGACGAGCAGGAGCTGAACGATGTCTACCAGGAACTATTAGCAACAGTCAGACCTCTGCCACAAGACATGGTCGACATGGATAGTCGAAGCGGACAGTGAAAGAGACGATAGCAAGGACAGTCTATCGCAAAGGGACAAATGGCTGAACCCCTTGTCAGATCTTATCAAGGCAGTCGTCGAGATGCAATTCCAACCTTTGCTGGAATACGGATCATGCAAATCAATAGAGCTCCAGAACAACCGATGAGTCGAGGGTGCGCTACCCTTAGAAGAGATAGACATCAATGGGAAGAACGAAACCGCGCGTTTCGGTGGAAATCTTTCCTTGGCCACTGAATGGAAACTTCAACTCCAAAGTTCGGACCCAACTGTTCGGCGTCAGAGCCCTGCCATCCCGCTAATTAGTCGAAAGTGGTTGCTACTGCTCTATCCTTCCAACGGCTCCCGCCCGCGTCGTGAACTACTATCTCACCCAGCCAACAAGCGAAGTCGCGCCTCCTCTTTGAGCCGTCGGCCTCAGCCCTGCCACACCCATTGCCGGATGCAGGATCTAGTGCCATGTGGCTGCCCGAACTCCATCCCATCCGGAACTTTGCTCCAGTGAGCTGAAGCGGGACTCTCCAGACCACTTCTCCAATTGGACCTCGTACGTACCGTTCACAAGCTCTAGCTTGAGCCGCCTTTTCTCTAGACACAGCGTTAAGGCCGCGTTCGTGTTTAAGCCTCCACGGACTTCCCGTTTGTGTGATTTGCTACCACTTCATTTTTTTTGGCACCTGAGTCTCCCGGGAGGCTGACGCAGCTGCAGCGCAAGCCATGAAATCCCATCTACGTGCCTGCTTAGCAGCTGCTTCACCGCAAGTTGTCTCAAACGTTGTTCGTCTGCCTTCGCGGCATGTTTGGGCGTTGGCATTGGGCTCGGAAACCCCTGGTACTCAAATATTGGACGAGCTATTGATCCTCATAATAGGAAAACTACAATCATCGGAGTCGATGATCATCTCGATCTAGGCCTTGTCCTGCTTGACATTCAAGGCGCCTCCCCATCCCCCACTTGACCCGGGAGTCAGGTTCACTCACAACCAGACAACCAGAGTACCAAACGTGGCAAAGCAAGCTACATCGATAGAGGCATGGTGTCCCGGGCTAGAATTCCAGCTGTCTCGCCCGTTCACATCTGGTCAGCCTCTGGCTGCAGCCGAGCCGCCGCCCGTCTGGATCCGGTCTGGCTTCATGCCTTCTGGTCGCGGGGTTGACTGGCACTCCTAGCTTGCCAAGCCTGCGCACTCTCTTGTTCCCCATTCAATTCTTTGTCTCCGAGCTGGATCATATCTCTGGGCAGACCTAGCCTGAACTCCTTTCGTGGGCAGTTCCGTTATTTTCTGGAGGTTTGCAATCCTTCTGCGTCTTCAACCTTGGTCGTGTTCCTCGTCACATTTCTCCCTTGAACCACGTTCATCTCCGCGCAGCATTGCATTGCTCGCTCCTACCAGACGATCTTTCCTTTCTAGTTTGCAGAAGTAATACGCTATCCACGAGCCGTACTTCTCTGGTCCGCAGAACAATTCATCTTCTTCTCGACTATTCGTTTCCTATTGATCCCCACTTACTTTCCTCCCTTGCCTGCCGTGCGTTCGATACACCCCGTACTTTGAACTGCCGACTGGACGCCAAATAACTGCATATTTTCACAATGGGCCCGTTCCCAGACCGGGAGGGATCGACAGCCCGGGATGGAGGAGTGTTAGGGGTCCGATCAAAGACGTCTATGCTATGTGCGTCCGTTCTGTTACTCGTGGCACCGGCCATCGGACAACAAGATCCCGTCAACAATTTCTGTCGTCGATTCGGGCACCAGACAGCTGTTGTAGACAGCAAACTGTACATCGATGGGGGGCTCATTAACTGGAACATAAACGAGAATCCGAGTAACTACTCAAGTACGTCCACCTACCGTCGCTGATAGTTCAACCTAAAAAGATTGCATAGTTCAAGAAGTCTCGCTAACACCATTCAGATCCATGGCTCCTCTATCAAGACCTCTCCCAGTCAGCCCCCAATGTGGGTATGCCGCCATTATTTGCGAACCTCTCAAAGAACGGAACAATCCCCAACACCAATGGCGGTGGCCTATGGGCCGATGGTGTCAACAAGCGTCTCTATCTGTTTGGCGGCGAGCACAATGCCGAACCCCCATCCCCATTCAATCTGTGGTCGTATGATATCATCAATAACTATTGGACATCATACGGCACACCACGGTCCGGCATTCCCATTTCAAAAGTCAGCTACGGAGCTGGTGTGTCTGTCGACACGAGGGGTGAAGCGTACTACTATGGCGGCTGGCTTAGCAACGCCTCCGTCGCGGGATGGGGAACAGGTCCACCAGTTGCTACTAACGGGCTCGTCAAGTACACCATGGACACGAACAGCTGGTCGAACAATACTGGCCCAGACAACGTCCGCCGCGCTGAAGGAAGTCTGCATTACATACCTGCTGGAGGCGGCGGGATGCTGGTCTACTTTGGCGGCATTCAGGATTTCAATACGAACGGAACAGGGGAGGGTCAGCCGATGGACACAATCTTCATGTACGACATCCTGAGCAGCAGATGGTACACGCAAAAGGCGACAGGACAGATCCCCGAGATGAGACGGCGTTTCTGCGCAGGCGTCACATGGTCGGCGGACCAATCCTCCTACAACATGTGAGGCTCTTTCTTTCCTTCCTCCTCTAATGTCCATCACTAACATGTTCAAAGCTACATGTACGGCGGAGCAACGGTCCCAGGAGTCCTTGGCGCAGGCTACGACGACGTCTACGTTCTCTCCCTCCCAACATTCACATGGGTCAAGATGTTCCCTTCCACAAACGGCACAGGCTCGAACCCTCACCATTCTCTGTCCTGCAACATCGTTCCAGGCCGCGCGCAAATGATCATCATCGGCGGAACCTTCCCTTCATCCAACGACTGTGACTACCCCGTGCAATGGGGGACACACAACGTCGACCTTGGCAAACAGAACAAGAACAAGAGCATCTGGGAGCTCTACTCCCCGAATAAGACGACATACTCGGTTCCAGATGAAGTCATTGCCGTGATAGGCGGCAACGGCAATGGCGGCGCAACAAAGACATCTCCCGCAGCCGGCTGGAATACCGCAGACCTGGGCCTCATGTTGGCCGACCAAGCCGAAATCACGCTCAGGACACCCACCCGCATGGTCTCTGCTACATCCGCTCCATCCAGTGGCTCGTCCCTCTCTACCGGTGCGATCGTCGGCATCGCAGTCGGAGCTGCCGCCGTCATCATCCTGCTCGGCTTGGCCTGCTTCTGCCTCATTCGTCGCCGCCGTAGCCAGCAATATCACAACCCTCCCAACTCGAGCTCAGGCCAACCATTCCATACGCAGACACAAAGCATGTCTGAAGCTTGGTCCCCACCGGCAACGCACCTGAGCCCAGCGGCATCGCCATACTCACCTCCTTACCACCCCTCCCCTTTCACACCACCACCGCACTCCCCTCCGCCGCCGCAATCCGCACAAACGGTCCCGCCTTACATGGGACCGCCCGTCGAACTCCCGTCCGAGTCTCCAGCAGTCACAACAGCTCTTTCTCCCCCACCGCCGCCCTCAGGGGGGCACCATTCCGGTGCGACGACAGCAGCAGGCTCCTCGATGACGCGCTCGTCCTCGGTAACCTACCCCCCGCAACAAGCCTACTTTCCAGACCCGGTGACCTTGTCGAACCAAGTACAAATCGACGCCAATGGGAACATGTGGGTGCCGCAGGTGAGCATGGTTCAAGTCGCGTCCGGAAGCCATCCGGGTAGCCAGCACGGGACCCCTCCGGTGTATACGCCGCCGATGGGAGACCGAAAATCACCGGCGGCGCATCCCACGCCTCCGGTGGAGGTCCAACCGACGCCACCAGCGGAGTTGCCCGGGTCGCCGCAGGAGCTGAGCGCGGACCGGGATGATGATCGGGCGGGTGGTGGGAATTCGAGGCACCAAACATTCTATAACAGGTGAAAAGGGCCTTTGACGATGTATATTTGGGTACATTAGCGAGAGCATGCGTGACTTGGGTCAAATGTGTTTATTGTCACGAAGTCAGTCCTACAAAGTATTTGAGCCTGCTGCTGTTTCTCTTTCCTTTGTTTTTACGAAAAGATTCCACTCGGAGTTTGGATGAGGCGACTGGGATTGGGGGCGTCAAGGGCGCAGTGTGATAACTGATGGGGAGGTAATGCGAGGTTTCAATACATACTTTCCGCCACTCCTGTTCCTTGGAGAGGATGGTGAACTCTTTCCCGTAGCTTTGAAGCTCATATCCAGCGATCTCTCACAATACTACGAGACTCGGTTACACTTCAGGAGTCGGATGTCATCATTTGAACAATACTATCAGGGACAAGAATGGTATCCCAATCCTGTATCTAGCACCGTCTTCCATGATCTCTTGCGGATCGAGGCCGCTTTGACAACGGCTCTACTGCTTCATCATATAAGTGTACGCGCTGGTACTGTCTCGAGGAAGTAGGATAGGCGGTGCGTTCCCCTATACTGTATGTGTCATAGACCAAGTGTTGGCTTCAGAGATCCAGATTGGCAGACCCTTCAACGAGATCCCGGAGAAGAGCATATCGCTTGGGCTGAGAAGGAATATTCGTGGAAGTTAGAGGCCCCTATCGATGCACGTTTCAGCAAGCTATTCCGGACCTAAGGTCCCGGTTGCTTTATCAATGAGTCAACGTGGGAAGATGGTTCAACAGTAGGGACATTCTCTCCCGGCACACTAGTTACCATGGACCAAGTAGGGATCATCTACAGCAATACTGAACGTACCCTCTGACACCAAGACCAAGACGCAAGAGTTGCCTGCGTAGTCACACCATCCGGGTCTCTCTCTGAGGTCATCAGGGTCCAGGATGACGACGACGCGACGACCCAGGGTCCGAGAAAGCCAAGCCTTTCTTGCGTCCGATGGGGCTACGTCCCCTCCCACCGACTCCGTGACGTTGGCTCACAAAGGACGTCTTCGTCTGCCCAAATGTCACGATGATCGGTGATGGTGTCTGTGTCACAAGAGCGCACTGTAACACAATGCACCGTTCATTAGCGAGGTAACCAGCGAAGCGCGCGATTGCGATTGCGATGCCGTTGGCGCTTTTTACGTGATGGGAGTGCCAATGCACAATGTCTTGGTCGCGATTTGACTTTGGGACACAAGAAGAAATCGCATCATATGGAGGTCGCGTGACGAGACGGACACCGCGATGCCGTTTCTCTCGCTTTTACGGATCGCCGGGGAAAAAGCCACAAAACAGATTGACAGCGACTCCCCTGCTTGTAAAGTTTTTTAGATTAAAGAAAGAAGAAAGGATGGGCTAGATCATGATGTGGATGTCGTGCTCGCAATTGAGGTGTGGGGGGCGGCGCCTAATCCAGTGATGCGAACACGGCGGCGCGTTGCGTCTTGGACGCTTGGGTGTTCTTTCTTTTCTGCTCTACCTAATATTTTTCCTTTCTTGCCCAGTCCCTGCCTCGACCCCACGATTCGTCATTGCAGGGGCTGCGTAGAGTGATCGCCGCAGTTTGTGAGTCAAAACTCGACGACATTTTGGCAAGATCAGAGACACGCGGGCGGGTACATCAAAAAAAAACTTACGGTGAAAATTATAGGCGATAATACCGCCGTACGACCCGAGGTTCTGAATCAAACCCTCGGCACCGAGGATGTCCGTTACACAATGCGTGTCTTTCTCTCGTGGAAATGAACCTGAGAGAAGCCAACCCGATATCGCTCGCCGGTCTTCGCAGAGCGAGACCGGAAGGGAAGTGTGCTCGGGACCATTGCTAGGGGATCAAGGACTGGAGTTCACCTTACCTCAAGGGGACCAACCGCACCCGCTGCGTGGTCCAGGCCCGCAGGCGTATGCGGTATGCCACATGGGAAAGGCGCCGAGCGGACGTGGCCCAACGGCGACGACGACGACGTCTTCGTCTTTGTGGTTCCCGGGGAGCAGGCAAGAGGGTCGCCGTACGCAGACTGCAGGCCGCAGTCAACGACGTGGGCGGGGGGGATTGCGGGATAACGAAGGCCGAGGGATGTTGGCGGCTGACGCCAACATGCAGCATCACTGGGGATAATTTCAAAAATCGGCGAAAAGAGCCATCACACCGAGCATGGGTTTTCTGCTCTGGCTCTTTGCCAAAAGTCGTTGTCAAACAAAGACCTTTGGGCAATCAGGGTCCCCACGTTCCCACGATATTCAGATATGGATGGACCCCAGACGGGTTGAAAGAGGCATAGCGGCTTGAGGATCGTCTGCTTGCTGCTGCTGCTGCTGCTGGTTGCCCACTCCCACTTCGCAACCACCCATGCTCTCGACAGGGGGGCAAGACGCGGACGACTTTGCAGTTGCGGTTCGTCCGCGTTCCCGTGTCTGACTCCATAGATAAGAAGAACAGGCAGGAGAGGCCGATGGGCGTATTTCTCGTGCGCGAACCAGAGATCGTGGCCGTCCCGCGTTCATGCCGAGGCCATCCCGAGCCATTCTTCGGCCCTAGTACCTGCAGACGGTTAAGAAAGGCGCAGCCCATGGTTTGAAGCTTCTTCAAAGACGGGATAGGTTGGTTGGGCCGGGGGCCAGGGAGAGAGGCAGTTTCCGGGTCGCCCATTTTGTCTCGTTGCATCGCAGGTGGGATATCCGACTTCCGTGAGGTGTGGCGCCGTTGGTTGGTGGTCGTCTCTTCCCCTCCGCCTCGAGCGGACTCTTGCTGCTGCATATCCGCACACCTCTTCGCCGGTCCTAATTTACGTTATGGACGAATTGGCTTTCAGGGAACGGCAGCAGAGAAAACTGGTTGTGAAACAAGTAGACGCAGTTTAGAAGCTCTCAGAGGTCCCGGATGTCGTTATCTTGCATGAGAAGTTCACGATCCAAGACGGCGTTCAAAGGGCCTGCATGTTCGTCGAGAGGTACCCACACCACAACCGCATGGGCTGGTCCCGAAAGTATCCGACCCAGCTGTCCATCTCTTGGGTCGCTTCCAAAGAAGAGGCGTGGGATGATAGTCGAAGGCAATTGGGTCGCCAGCGGGAGATTGAGATCCAGCACGTTGGTGAGCCAGAGGCTGTATTGCGCTTGTTGTGTCTTGCTGGTGAGTATTTTCATTGTTCTGAGGCTGTAAGCGAGATGTCGTCAGTTGCTGGCCCGTACAACAACCAATGGCGAGCCTTCTGCCATGGTCCGTGAGCAGAACCAAGACCAGAATTGGTCTACTGTCTTGACCGAGGCGCTCGGCCGACGTCGTGCGTGGTGAGCTCGCAAGGTGACGCGCGAGGTGAATGAGGCTCGTGGAGTTGTGACCTCCTCGACTCACCTTGATGGCGGCGCTTGAAAACCCGCCTCGCATGGATTGGGGCACTATCGGGACCGAGACACGGGATGGCCTTTCTTTTGCGAGGGGCACGGGTGTGCTGAAGACGTGGGATGCCAGCTGGGAGAGGGAGAATGGCGCGCATATCGCAAAGGCTGCCGCCGTGAGCCGGAATGGCATACCGAGGCGGCAAGTCGATTGGAGCGTGGTGTGCAGTTGTCAATCTCGCTGCCTCGGACGGCAAAATGTGGATTTTACCGCGTCCAGATTCCCTCTCGAGACTCGGATGCATCGACGTAACCCTCCCTTGCCAGGCTGGCGGGAGACGGAGGCCCAGACGGCATCCTTTCTCTTGATTGCGTCGTCAATCAACTCTGATAACTCTGATAACATTGAGTGCAGGCCGAGAAGGGGTGGACCCCCAAGCGGAGTTGCAGGTTGTGGTTTAATTGAGCGCATATGTATGCCCGGTCTTGCGTGGTGTAGAGACGGCGGACGGGGTGGGTTGAGTTCCTATCCATGCGACTTGTCAACCGCCGACTTGTCTGGCCCAGCGCGCCTACGCGGGGTTGCGAGCGTCAGGCAGAGACAAGACGACACGCAACCGTCCCTCGACTAAATTGCAACCCCCTCTCGCCCACGAGCAGGAGCTGCCCGTATCGAGCCAGTCGCGGGAATGCGAGAGTCTCAGTGGTGGTGTGTCGACGCAGCTGGCTTGAATCGCATGTCGCGAGATATGCGATCATGTCTAGGAGGGGAAAGTGGCAGCGGAAGGGACCTCTCGTTGATTGCACGACAGCAGCCGGTTGCATAGAGCTTGCCAACTCAATTGGGTAGTTGATCACGTCGATAGCAGACAGCGATATGGCGACATCCAGTTGCCAGGTTGTTTATGGCAGAGAAGAAGGATCCCGGGCGGTTGAAGGACGCGGCGTCAGACGACATGTCTTTGCTGGATTCGGCCGAGCCCAAGCACCGTCCACGTTGCGCCGGTGAAGCCATCAGCGCAGCCCAGCGGCCCAGACTTGCGGTTGTGAGTCGTGTAGCGTCGTATCTGGCCGTCGTCTTTAGTTGTGAGGGGGAGATGATAGATGGTGGTCCAGAAGGATGTGATGGGACACTCAGATGCCATTGGGTACCCTGGGAAACATGGCTAGAACGGCAGTTGCGATCGAGAAGACGACCCCGCATCGAAAGGGGGTGAGACAGCGATGAGCACCACCAGCTGGAGAGAACAATTGATCAACGCGACACAATGATCCCCCCGTCCGTTACGATGGCTTCGCATCTGACGGTGTGAATAATTGAACGGTCTACTGGTGTGACGACCGACACGGTACATGGGGGTGCGGCCTTCCAATGGGTAGGGTCTTGGCCTGGGTCCGGCGGTGCGTTGGGTCTGGGCCGGGGGATCGCCATCTAGCGGATTGCCCGGGTGGGAAGCGGTGCTGCTTAGTCAATTGTGCTTTCGCTGTGCATGAGCACGTTTCTTGTTGTTGCCCGTCGTCACGAAGCCATGTACGTGATGTTGCCATGTACTTTCACGACAAACAATGTACCGGCATAGGCCGTTACAACTGATGTGGGCTGGTGG